ATTTAGTCTAGCTTATATATAAAAGTAGGTCTTATAAAAGGCGCCTAGGGCGTATAAAGCGGCCCTTTATTATTTAAGGCTAACGTATAACGGCCTCTTATATTTTAAGGCGCCTTAAGCGTAAATAGCGACTATTCGGCGAAAACAGCGAAAATAGCGGGTGGCACGTGCACCCAGCGCCAGAATTTTTTGCTAATATACTTTAGATTTTATAGTTAAACTACTACTTTTAAAAGACTTAATTATAGGAATTATATATAACTTAATCTATATAATAACAGATAAGTTTATAAAGTATATATATATAATACTAGTACTTAAGATATAAGATACGCTTATAATAGCGTAAGTATTCCTTAGAATAATCTTTATAAGCTATAAAATACTAGATAAGATTATCTTAAATAGAGATAAGCTTTTTACTTTAAAATTCTAGAAAATACTAATAGTAGTCCTAAGGATAAAATAGAAATTATTAATAATATTTTACCTTTAGATAGATATATAGATAAAATAAATTAATTAGATAATAGAGACTTATCTATAGTATTATATAAACTATAAATAAAACAACTAAGTACAGCTACTCTTACTTATCTAATTTATATATAATAGCACGGATTAAGAAACTATTAGAGTATTACTATTCTACACGAACTATAAGATTAACTTAATAATATATAAACTACTAATTATAAGTTAAGGGACTGTGTAAGAAGCTATACTATAAGTAAGTAAGCTTAAGTAGCTTTATAAAGAATTATTAGCTAATATTCTCTTTATTATATAAAGATCTGCGATCTACTATAATAGAAAGTATAGTATAAGACTAATACTTAAGAAGAGAGATAAGGTCTACTTACTTAAGAAAAATATTATAACTAAATAACTAAGCTATAAATTAGATTATAAGAAGCTAGAGTTATTTAAAATTACTAAAGTTAAAGGACTAATTAATTATTAACTAGCCTTATTAAAAATAATAAATATCTACTTAGTATTTTATATATCTCTCTTTAAACTAGTACTACTAAGAGTACTACTAGCTCCTATTACTAAAATTAAACTAATTAACTTAATTACTAAATATAAGGTTAAGATTATTCTTAACTATTAGTATTTCTATAGTAAGCTAAAATATTTAATTAAATAGAAAAAGTACTTATAATTAGAAAATACCTAAGAACTTAAATCTAACTTTTACTACCTTAAGCTTCTTTAAGACTTCTATTAATAAAATCTAAGTTTACTTAGAAAGAAAAGGACTTAAGATTAAGGACTAGGCTCTTAAAGAAGAATATTAGATAAGTATTAAGCTTAAAAGTAAAGAACTAAGAGTTAAGGTTATCTTTAATAAGCTTAAGAAAAGGTATTAAAAGATAAGCGAGAGTTATAATCTTCCTTATCTTAAACTAATATATAAGCTATTTAGAAGCGAACTTCTTAATATACCCTAAGGTATTATAATTATAGCGCTTTAAGCGAATATACTTAGAGTATCTTTTTAAAATAGATAAATCTAAGAAGTAAGTATAAGAAAAGCTATAGTAAAAGGAATAAAGCTTTATAAGTTATATAATATATTTAATATAAAGCACGAGCTAAATACTTTATTTTTTCTTTATCTAAATAACACTTAATTTCTTTATAACACTAGATATAATAGATAAGGAAGATAGCTATTAGTAGCTATTAATATTTCCTAGGTTATACTTAAGTATAAGGGCTATACTAGTATAAGAGAAGAATAGTATTATAAACTACCTAAGAGCTTAGCGCTTCTAGAAGGATTCCCTTAAGTACCTAAGAGCTCCTAAGTAAGAGAAGCTAAGAAGCTATAAGCTTAAGGAGATATTTACTCTTAAAAGAAATCTTCTAAAAAGTAAAAGCTCTTAAGAGAACTTCTCTCTTAGGATTTTATAGTACTATAGTAGCTATATATATTATATAATCTAAGTACTATAAGTAAAAGCGCTAGTTCTAGTAACTTAATATTATATAATAGATTTCTAAATCTTTAGATCTTATAATAAAAGAAGAGATCTAAGGATCTATAAATCTAATATCTAAGAGATCTATAAGAATAAAAGTTCTATATAAGATTAGTATATCTACTATTAGATAGAAGCTTTATACTTAACTTTAAATAGTATTCTAATACTTAGTAACTATCTTCTTATCTATATAATATACCTACCTCTCGATTATTAAAGATTAACTATAGCTTTCTGTATTTATAGCGAGTAAATACCGGACTATTACACTACTCTCCTTCTCCTTAAAGAGCTAATTAATTACTATAAAACTACTACCTAAGCTATTACTACTACTAAAGCTAGAACTAGAACTAGAACTATTACGATTACTAGCTAGATCCTTCTCTAAACCGCCTCTAGGAGTACTACGAGTTCTTATTCCTAGCTTATAACACTTTATTATAGCTAGACCTCTTAGTAGAGCTTTCTACTTCTTATTAATAGTCCCTAGATACTATAGAGCTATAAGAATCTCTTATAATATAAGCTATTAGATTATATCTTATAAAGGAAAGTAAGAAGAATTAGTTAAGAAAAGGGAAATACTTATAGCGTTTTATTTTATAATTCTAGTTATTTCCTTATATAAGGTATATATCTCTATTAATATAACTAATATAGCTAATAGTATGTTCTTTAGTATAAGAGCTTTAGTAATAATTATAATATTCTAAAGAGTAGTAATAGCTTCCTTAATAATAACTTAGTCTCTACTAGTAAGAGTATTAGTAAAAGTATAATATTTATTAGTCGTATAAACTAAGATCTACTTTTATTAGTAACTAAGAGTTATAATTAGAGGAATTATAAATAAGATTCGGATAGAGGATACTTATAACTTTATATTTATTCTTATTTTTAATATAATACTAGCACTTTAAGCTACTAAACTCTTAAATTTATATAGTCTCTTACTAACTTTCTTCTAATAGTTAATATATCTATAGTACTATACGCGGAATATAGCTAGGAAAGCACTAGAAGAATAGGTAATTAGTACTAATTTATATTAGTAAAGAGCTCTACTACTATATTATATCTTAAAATAAGATATATTTACTCTTAAATTACTTAATTTATTTAATATCTTTTAAAGAAATCTTATAGTTAGTAAGAATCTCTAAGGTAAATAGTATTAATTTTAAACTTATAGTTATTATTATTATTATTTGATAGAGAAAAGAGAAAGTTTCTAAGAGGAAAGTTATCTTTATATAAATAAGTATATTAGATTTAAGCTTAATTTAGATATAATATAATATTATTTACTATTATTACTTAGCTATTACTATTATCTTTTACTTTTATATTATTAACTACTACTAGATAAAATATTAGCTTTCTAATTTCTTAAAACCTTATATTAACTTAATAATAATATTATTTAATTCTCTACAAGTTTATATATATTCTTTATATTCTAAGACGTTATTTAATAGTAAATTATGATTTATTTATATCCTTACTTAATAAGAGAAGTACTTTTAGATAGTAACTAGAGATATTCTAGTTACTAATATATAAGGTTAGATATTTATTACTTTATTATATCTTTAATTCCTTTTATTATATCTATATTCTCTATTTTACTCCCTTTATAATTATTAGAAACCTTTTGTTTCTAAAAGAAGTTTTACTAGTATTAGTCTATAGACTTATACTATAAAAGTATAGAGAGTAATTAAGAGAGATAGGTAATCCTAGTTAAGAGAAGGACTACTTTCAGATATAAACTAAGGGTTATTCAGGAGGTAGTATATATTCTAACCCTTAGATACTTTTTATAATATATACTTTTAAATACCTTTAAACTAAACCTTAGATTTTAACGTATATTAATATATACTTATTATTTATTTACCGGTATAATACTAATAGTAATACAAGCTCGATTATAGCTTAAAAAGGAAAAGATACGCTAGCTTAAAGCACGTGAGAGGTAGCTATAAGGGGATACAGATCAGTGGACTTATATAAACTCAGAGCTTACGAGTATTCTAAAAGGACTAGTGTTTTTAAAAGGGCTGTATCGATAATAGGAGAGGTATTCAAAGCCTCAGGAACAATCTACAACTACGTATACCTCTTAGGAGGAGCCGGAAAGAGGCTGGCGTGCGTGGGAGTTTCAATAGTACAGTCCGAAAGGGGCTACCGGTTTAAAGAACGATCTTGAGGAGGAATATAATACCTTTATTCAAGGGGGGGGATAACGCTACCTGAGGTAGACTGGGAGGAGCCGTAGGGTAGACTAGAAGGAGCCGTAAGCTGTAGGAACGCTTACGCGTTGGATCGGTGCGAGCCTGCGAGCGACGATTCGACTAAAATTAATATTAAAACAGTAGGTTTCCCTTAAAAACATAATGATTTACCTGTGTACTTAAAAAGCAGGATTCCCTGGCCCTACTGAGAATAACACTAAAAGAACATCCTTTTACAGTAGACTTCCCTTAGAGATGCGATGATTTAGCTATGTACTAAACCGTTGCGAAGCGAGGTCCGAAGGCCCCGGAGCTTGCGTAGGGTCGCCAGAGGGAAGACCTCGTCTCTCGATCTGTACTTTCATGTTACGCCTCCACAGAAACGATATCTAGACGTCTCCGACTTGGTGTTCTGGTGCCCTCTTCCAACACAGCCCTCGAGCCTCTCACAACAGCCATTGTCAATGACATCAACAGACAGCTTGGGCATCGTATCACTGTCCACTTCTCCGCATTCGCGGTCACGACGATTTCCCTCGCACCATCTGCCCTCGGCCAATTCGAGCTACCAGCCAGACTCGCTGCAGCAGAACTGCTTGCTCATGCTCAGGTCGATGCCATTGGATGGTCTGGCAACGCCGCAGGCTGGCTAGGCTTCGATACAGATATCGCATTGTGTGAGGAGATAGAGAAAAGGACCGGAATCAAAGCTACAACTAGTGTTCTGGCGCTGAACAGAGCCTTGGACATATGGGGAATCAACAACATGGGGCTAGTGACTCCATACCTGGACGATGTTCAGGCCGCCATCGTGAAGAACTACAAGGCTATAGGTATCGGAATTGGAATGGAGCGGCATTTGAACATACAGAAGAACAACGACATTGCTATCATTGATGAAGGTGTCCTCGATGGCTTGGTGGACGAAGTCGTCGCTGGGAAGGTAGATGCAGTGACGACGTTCTGTACTAATTTCACTGCTGCGCAGAAAGTGGAGCTTTGGGAACAGAAGCATGGACTACCAGTTTTTGATACCGTCACAACTGTTATTTGGGATATGTTACGGCTGTGCGACATTGATACGAGAGCTGTTGAAGGCTGGAGCATGATGTTCAAGAAGGGCGATTTCTATCTCAGCCTTGTTCTCAAGTCTGACCTTCGAATATACATCCCATGTGGATTTCGCTCAATCTCTGTATTCCGTCTAATATAGGCTGTGATTCCTCACAGTCTCAAAGCTCGCTCAGTGCATTGGCAGTTTAACCGGCATGGCATGGTCGCAGAGAAATTGCTTCACTTGCCCCATACTGGGATTTTCAATCCATGCATCCCTTTGTACCGAGCAGGCTCACTTTCTTTCCACCCCTTCAATATTTCTTCCTTCCTGTCAATATCATACACAGCTACCCCTAGCGGTCTGCAAGTATCAAGCATACGCTGAGCTGAGTCCCCACCCCATCCATAGACTGATAGGTCACCTCCTGGGCAAGTGGACAACGCGCAGAGTACATCTGTCTCGGCGAAGAAAGCGAAGTATTCTCCAGGCTTTGCTGGGCAAGTCTCCCTGCTCAAGGTCAATCTTGGTTGCAAAATGAGTGAGACGAGACTGACATGCAGTACTTTCCATCTTCGTTCAGCCGGGTAACTTGAAAAACGTTCAGAACGTCATGAATGTCTGATTCAGTAAGCCCATATGGTAGAACAGCTCTGACAAGGTTGGAATGGCAATGGTAATCGAAGTCATCTCCACTAAGAAGATTGTCCACTACCAATGGTAAGCGAGCATTTTGGATACATTGTTAGATGTGACCAACCATAAGGATCACATCTGCTTGCTTTGTTAGAATTTTTCACCCCGATTGTGAAAGATCTCACTGACCTTGTCCCTAGTAAATCATGGCATCGGCCACCAACTTCATCTACACCATAGTCTTTCAGACTGTCGGCGACGATAGTGACTAAAGGTCTCAGGTATGGTAGATTTGACCACAGTCTATCCCCGACAGAAACGTGAGAAGCGTGTAGCTGTCTCGTCCGTGCAGCCCAGAAGCGTTCTCGAGGGTTATGAAGCGAGAAAACATTTAAATCTCCAACTTGAGGTCCTTCAGGAGTCGAGAGAACACAGATTTGTCCTTTTAACATATCAGAGGAGGATTCGTATGAGGCGGAGCTTGGTCCACACCTTTCTTCACAACCCAAGCTTTGCCACTTCTAATCGGAATCTCAAACTTCTCAATTAACGTCTTTCCTCCATCATTCTCGGCAACTTCGCCAATCCGTGCATACAGCTCTTTTTCGCCGAACAGGACGGTGCTATCAGAAGATGGGTAGGCTGGTGGATTGGGAACACGAGCTGTCATGTTGAAGACGAGGAAATTTTGGATTTCTATGGATGAAGAGACTGCTTTTGTGATGTTGGGATGGGAAGTGGAATGACAGATATTGAGATCGTGGACCTCAGACCTACATACAGCCTGGAAGGTCTTTACTCGATGTGTAGTACGAGAGTGGGATGTTCAAGGATAGTCTAGCCTGTTGAAGAAGCCAAGTCCTGTATAAGCAGAGTATGCAGCTAGCATACCCTAGGCAGTGTCGAAGCTTGAAAAAGCATGCTGTCTGCCGTAACCAGAAAATCAAGAGTCATGTATAGGCAGCGTGTAGCATGTCGTTAGTTTGTAGAGGGCACGAAATAGAAGAGTTCCGTAAGTGAGAGCCGAGGTGATGGCTGAGGCTGCCAAAATAAAGGCCCGTGTGTCAAATTTTGAATCAAAAGGAGACTCGTTCCAGAGTTCCTTTGAAAACATGGAGGACAATCCGTCGGAGATCCATTTTCCACCTTCCAAGAATGTCAAGATGGGCCGCCAGAGCAAGCTACAAGGCCGCCTCATTGGCCTCTGCCCCGCGCTTCAGCCTCGCGCCCCTCGCCAAAGCAACATCCTTCCTGTCTCGGGCACATAGGCAACCCCTCTCCACGGTACGACGTGTCATGGTCTCGTCTTCACCGTCTCCTCTCACCAGACTATCAATTGTCCAAAGACATCTCAGCATGAACGCTCAAGAAATCAAGAACTTCCTGGCGGATTCGCCTCCAAGCACTGTCAACCTCGAAATCAAGAAGCACTTTGACGCGCTGACCGACCAGCAAGCTCGCTATGCACACTACATAAGCAGGTATGGGAATGCTTCTCAGAGACTGCATCTGGTGTTTTCTGGAACCACCCAGTCAATGTCACTCTATTTTCCTGCAAGGTAATACTAACATAGTTTCCAGAGCTGCCTTCACTGGAACTAGAATCACCCTCCGTCAAGTCTCCCCAGAATCCGAAAGCATCTACGACTTCATAGTCGAGCTATACAAATTTACAAATGGCGACTGGAAGGCTTTGCAGGAGAAGGCTGGTATTACGAATGAAGAACTGCAGCAGTTCCTCGAATACTCGACTCAGTTTTTAGGCAATTGTGGTAACTACAAGGGCTTTGGAGATGCCAAATTCGTTCCACGATGCAGCGAGAAAGTCTTTGATTCTTTGGCTACTACTGCCCCTAAAGCTGCGGAACATTACAAGGCAACAAATGGAGCTATTTTCTCAAGTGACAATTCTGGAATTATGCACTTAGGGTAGGCGTCGTCATATGTGTCATGGCTTGATACTTACACACCCTTGCAGATACCTAGAGGATGGACATATGACAACTTACTATCCCGACTCCAAAGGAATCACGAAGGCAGAAATTGGAGCTGTGTCTGATTTCATGGCCAAGATCGGGCTGCTTGTGGTCGGGTCTCATTGTCCATGATATGGAGAACGTAATGTGAAGCTGACCTTACTTAGGAAAACACTCGACTGAGAAAGAATCCAGACGGAAACTTTGAATTGTTGATTGCATCGGCAGTAACTAAAGTTCCCGCAGCTGGTGGAGATGTTGGCACGACCACAGAGTTCGATCTTGAAGCCGATGTGGTAAAGGGTAAGAAGCTAAAGTTGGTGTACGGTGATTATTCCAAGGAGATGGCTCTCATTACCGAGTATCACAAGAAGGCTGCCGAAAACTCTGCCAACGAGAATCAAAAGAAGATGCAACTTGCCTATGTCAAGTCCTTCGAAGAGGGTTCTCTTGAGGCTTTCAAGGATGCGCAGAGATACTGGATCAGAGATAAAGGTCCCATGGTTGAATCCAACATCGGGTTCGTCGAGACTTATCGGGTAAGCATCAGATTTTACTCGAACTTTCAATGTGGCCTTAGATTTGTTTGTACTGTCTTGTAAAAGCTAACTATGTGCTAGGATCCTCATGGTGTTCGTGGAGAATGGGAAGGTATGCACAATCTATCGTGACAATCAGCTCTTGTCATAAGACTAATTGACTTACAGGTTTTGCGTCTATGGTGAATCTGGAACGCACAAGAGCATTTGGGTCCCTCGTTGATGCTGCCGAAGCGATGATCCCAAAGCTTCCGTGGTCAACTGAGTTTGAGAAGGACAAATTCCTGAGCCCCGATTTCACCAGTTTGGAGGTGTTATCTTTCGCTGGGTCTGGAATTCCGGCAGGAATTAATATCGTATGTTCTCCTGGCTATGTTCTCCAGGGCATGAAGTATCCACACCTGTGTGTGTCCGTTCGGTACGCTAACTCGCGCGCAGCCAAATTACGATGATATCCGTCAGTCAGAAGGGTTCAAGAACGTCAGCCTGGGCAACGTTCTCAGTGCCAAGGCACCCAACGAGAAGATTCCATTCATCTCTGAGGCCGACCTTCCCATATACCAGAAATACCGTGATGCTGCTTTCGAGGTATGTCATGTTATCCCCGAAAATAGGCTGCCGATGTCCTGAAAAGAGACTTTTGGGCATATTCAATACAAGTAACTTACTTCAGTCCAGGTCCAAGTCGGCATCCATGAACTTCTAGGTCACGGCACCGGAAAGCTTCTACAGGAGACAGAGCCCGGCAAGTTCAACTTCGATCCTAAGAATCCACCCATCAGTCCTATTACCAACAAGCCAGTCACCACCTACTACAAACCAGGACAGACATGGGGCTCGGTATTCGGCAGCGTGGCATCAAGCTATGAGGAGTGTCGAGCTGAGACTGTTGCCATGGCCCTGTCTTGTGATTTCGAGATTCTCAAGATTTTTGGCTTTGGAGATGGCTCACCAGATATGGATGGAGAAGCTGGAGACGTACTGTACGCAGCTTATCTCTCCATGGCTCGCGCTGGAGTTGCATCGCTCGAGATGTGGGATCCAAAGTCCAGACGCTGGGGTCAAGCACACTCTCAAGCTCGATTCAGTATCTTGAAGTGTTTCCTCGATGCACCAGACGACTTCTGCAAGCTTGACTACAAGAACGAGGATCTTTCAGATCTTACAATCAAGCTTGACCGAAGCAAGATCACCACAGTCGGACGAAAGGCTGTCGAGTCGTACTTACAGAAGCTTCACATCTACAAGTCAACAGCTGATTTGGAGGCCGGTACTGCTCTATATGCTGAGATGACCGAGGTAGAACCTAAGTGGTGGGGTGAGACGCTCAGAAATGAGGTCCTGAGGAACAAGCAACCAAGAAAGGTTTTCGTGCAGGCCAACACAATACTTGACGGGGCAAGTGGAAAGGTTTCGTTGGTGGAATATGAGCCTACCTTGGAGGGTATGATCAAGAGCTATGCGGAGAGAAATGTCTGAGAAATGACGACTCTTGGGACTGTTTGGGAACCATGGCATAATGAGCGGAGTAATTTTCACTTAGGCCCGACTTTCTACATGTTCTCGTTGTGGAGCATTTCAGTGACGTATCCCGCGCGTGTTCGATCCAGTATGTATTGTATCAGTCAGGAGTCCTGAACATTTGCGAACCCTGGAATCCCTACTGGGCATACTCACATCCCAAGAAACGACGAACAATTGGAGGCAGCTCAACTCAATGTTTCGCTCATTCTCTTGTAACAAATCAAAGACGGAGAATACTTTGACTAGTTTTAAAAGAGCGTTGGTTCTAGTTTCTCGAAATGAGACACCCCACCCCGGAATGCTCAGTTAGCTGTAATGCAAGACGTCCTCGGTCATGAAAGATGCAAAGAACATTTTCGAAAGTCTTATTAGGACATTAAACATCATTTTTCCCAAATATTGAGAAAGCTGAAAGATTGAATCAGAATTGCGGCCATGTTGGAAGTGCATGAAAGTCACGTGCAGATCGACGTGCAGGTTCGGCTATTGCCCTAGCGGCGCTAGCTGCACACACTGGCTCGGTTTGCCAGAAATTATCGCGAAGAAGTTGCAGCAGCGACCTCGAATCTAACTCCCCCGCCATTTCGACAAACCCACAGGTCCAAAATGAAGTACATTCATTCCGAAGAGACCTTGACCGTCCCCGAGGGTGGTGAGTACAATTGATCCCAGTTGTGCTTGGGATGCCCCTCAGAGCGCTGCACAAAATTCAAGATGGAAGGAGAATTAAGGCGGGCGCATTGGAAAGAGAGCAAGGACTGACGAATTGTGTGCGAATAGTCAAGGTCACCATCAAGTCCAGACTTGTTACTGTTGAGGGTCCACGAGGTATGCACGAAAAGCTGGATATAAACGCAATGGATATGGGAGATCTAACGGAGGAAATACAGGCAAGCTCACGAAGAACCTCAACCACTTGGCCGTCAACTTCTCCCACCCAAAGAAGGATGTTATCAACATCGAATTGCACCACGGTGCCCGAAAGAACGTCGCTACCCTCCGCACAGTCCGAACCCTCATCAACAACCTGATTATCGGTGTCACCAAGGGCTTCAAGTACAAGATGAGATATGTCTACGCACATTTCCCCATCAACGTCAACGTAGACAAGAACTCCGAGACTGGCCTGTACGAGGTTGAGATCCGGTACGTGGAATTTTCCTGATTGTGGGAGGAGGACTAGGACTAGAGGGGCGGGTTGGGGACCAGGAATGGGACGGAATAGAGGACGAAGTGCTGACGGGATACACAGAAACTTCATCGGTGAGAAGATCGTCCGCAGAGTCGTCATGCAACCAGGTGTCGAGGTCGAGCCATCAAAGAACCAGAAGGATGAGCTGCAATTGTTCGGTAACTCGCTCGAGAACGTCTCACAGTCCGCCGCCGACATTCAACAAATCTGCAGAGTGCGAAACAAGGATATCCGCAAGGTAAGGAACTCCACAGACTGCCCAGACACTCTCCTCCCTCCAGGATCTACGAAGGACTGGAGACAGAGGGATGAGGGGGGCCAGGAAGAGGAATTGGGGCTAACTTGATATAGTTCTTGGATGGTCTGTACGTTTCGGAGAAGGGTAACATCGAGGAAGACGCATGAGTTGTTTGGGCTGGGCATATTTTTTCTACGTACCTGACGGCTATGGGGGTGCATAAGGGTTACTTTGCATGTTAAGTAGCAAGGTGCTTGGAATGAAAATCTTGCGAATAAACAAATCACACACTTCAGCTGCCCATTCGACCGTGGAGAACATGGATATATTTCGATTCATTGGACGATCACGATTTCAGGAGGCAGTACGGACTTGCAAGTGCAGCTCGACTGTTACATTGATGGGCAAGTGACACCTAGGGATTATTACCTGGGTACGCATGTAAAAAGCTGGCTGAGTCTGCATGTCAACCTTCCCTTTTGTTACGATTCTGAACCCCAGGAGAGAGAGCATTGGAGAGCTCAATTGCCAGCAAATAATCAACCTTAACTACCCTTTGAACTAAGACCATAAGATGGTAGGTTTTAGCTTGTCAAGCCACCACTAGGCTGAAAACTATGCTGACTAACCGGGGCTGATAGTCCTGGTGGTCTGCAAATCGGACATTTTAAAACTAACCCCACCTCTGACAAACAATAATCATCTTTTGCTTCGCCATATCACGACTCAATAAAGATTGATCAAGGTGGTCGATTCCCTTACTCAGACAGTGCGCTCTGTTGTCTTCGACTGAATAAGCTCTGGACATGACTACTGACAGCCAGGAGCAAAACGTAATCCATCTATCCGCATGATAGGCGCACCTGAGGCCAGCACTTCATATCGCAAGTTATAGAATGGCTCCAGAACTCATTTGGTGAGAGACAAAAATCTACTTTTGATCGAAGTGTAAATTCACCCGTTCCCCCGTCATCTCATATCCACAACTAATAACATGAGCATGGAATGTTTAGTGTAGGGTTTATCCCCTCAATTCCGGCAATTCCCTTGCAGTACAGTTCCATTTGATTGCTTGATACTATGTACAACGTGATAGTACCCATAGTATGGGCTATTTCATTTTTCAACTCACTCTGCTTGACAGATTTTTGGACTTTTCCCCACATTGTTTTGCTACAAACTGCAACCAATCAATGTCGACGTCCTGCTTTCTTTTGCGCTTGCTTTTGGCATATCCACTATCGAAGTCCATCAATTGCGTTGCTTTCTTGTCAACATCTCACTGCACAGTCTCATCCAATGCCATGGAGAAATATTAGATACCCAACAATGCGACAGCTCGCGTCCAACATGCAAATCAACGCTTCTTCTTGCTCTTCGTTATGCCATCATTTTTACGCACAACAGCTTCAAATTCCTCCTTAGCATCAATCCACTCAGAATCCTCATCGTATGGCCAAGAACCTGGAACTATGGCAGGGTGGAAGCCGAAATCCGAGGATGTCGCTGAGCTGTCAAGGGCAGGATAGCCGGTGTCTGTTCCATCTTGAGGGTGGACTTTGAAGTAGGATCCAGTCATGTCCGGGTTCTTTGCGGATTTCTTGATATTGGTGGGCAAGCTGCGGCGAGGACCATCGATATTGTTGGGACCAGCAGGTGTCGAAACTTTGCTAGTAGGGTGACCAGTTTGTTTTGAGCCGGAGGAGGGAGGTGGCACCGAAGGAGCTGATCGAGTTCTGCTGGAAGATGGTACTGATTGGGTAAGAGTTTGCTTTGTCAGACCTGCGTTGTTGACTGCAGAGCCTTCTGGAGATATCACCGTTGAGACTGTTGAGGCAGTCGAGGTAGTTGAGGGAGTCGAGCGAGCTGTCTTGAATGATCCACCAACTGACGACGCGTCCGAGTTCGAGATGCCACCAACTGTGTGAGTAATGTCCTCCTTCATAGGCTTCGGTAGTTCCGTATTGATAGCATCCTCCATAGCCGCTGGAAGATACTGGACACGACTGCTACACGCAATGACATGCGACGTTTTGGGGTCAGTGTTGTTCGAAGCTGGAAGATCCACCTCAACGAAGCCAGACTCAACCTCAGATTCTCCTCTAATCGTTCCTGCTGGACCTTGAACGCGTCCCTCTGTTCCGGCATTCCATACATCCTCAAAAGTATCGCCTGACTTGCTTGCATATTTGACCCTCAGCGCCTTGAGACGCTGTGCCAGGCTTAGAGTAGGTACTCGATCTGGAGACTCAGGACGTGTAGTAGAAAGTGTCAAAACCGAGGCCGCAGGCGTAGCCGGAGGAGGTGCAGAGGTAATGCTCGCAGAGCCTGTTTTTACAACTTCGATCTTTCTTTTCGCCATGGCGTATTGTCTCGAGCTGTTTATTTTGACTACTTCGAGTGTTTTTCTGCGTTGACATTGATGTTCAGCTTCGAGATCTGTGGTTTTGTCGTCTTCGGCTATCTCAAACAAGACAGGCGACATTTTGAAGCTATTGCCAAAGGTGATATTTACCAGGCTGTCCTCGGAATTCATTCTGGTCAATGTTTCTCCATCCATTCTGCCCAGCTTTCCTTGACTCTGGATATCACAATCGCACCTATTCTTTGACTTCTTACAGCTGCTCATCCAACCCCAATCAATCTTCTTGTTGTTCTCCACCGTTTTGTTTCTTCCCCCTTTTCTCTCAGGCTTGATATTTGTCTTTATCGAAGTCATTGGAGATGGTACTTCAGACGGTGCTATCAAGTCTCTGGCTCTATCGTGTACAAATCTCGCTCTTTGCATCGAAGGGCCGGCCAGCGGATTCAGCGTTCCTCCAACCAGCACAGTTCCTTGCTCTCGAAGTAATGTCGTTGCTGAGCTTGAAGGACGGAGCTTGCAAACATTACTTTCGTGTGAAATGTTTTCATTTATACCTCCGGACATACAGCCGCGACACTCGTAGAATTTAGAAGCCAGGCTTTGAGTAGTTGTGCTCGCCGCTGCTGCTTTGCCTCTGAGGTTCTCTTTGTGCATTTGCACCAAAGTCGAATTTCCCAATCTTGGGGTAGAGGACCTTCGTGGTGGGACTCTGGAAGTCGGTCTCCAGTAATCACTAACCCGCTCCAAGAGTGTTTGGCTATGACCTGGGAATGTGTCTACCCCAGTTTCCAGGACCTTCTTCCTTCTTGGGCTCATCATTTTCCACCACAGCTTCCGCCACCACTTCTGTTTTTTCTGCTTATTATTCTTGTATTCTCTTCTCGTTTCTTCTGGAGTCTCTATCTCGGCAGTCTTTACATTCAATATCCTCGCTGTCGCAACAGTATCCCAGACTTCGTCGGGTGGAATATATTCACGTGGACGCCAAATCGACTTTTCACCAGTTGTGCTGGTTAGGACGATGCTCCTATCTTCGATGGGTTTCGGAGGCATCGAAATTGAACACGGAACTGAACCTGTCTTTGTACGCCAGGGTGGCTGAATGAATAATTTGCTGCTGAACTGCGAAAGTGGGTGCGCAGACAGTCTACAACAGGCTAGCTCAGGTTTTAGGAGTAGGGGAAGCCAAGCTGGTGAATGATATGCGACAGGACCGCGAGCTGAAGTCAAACTTATGGAGTCATGAGATGGGTTTAAAGCAAGTTTGCTCTCGTACCATGGCTTGCTCGAGTGCTGCATGATTCACTAGCTGGTCCATGGGGATGAGGTCGAGCCAATTAAGCGAGAGCAATCACAACATAGGGGGAATCTTTTCTCCAAGTCTGATTCCTGGACCGTCTCCCAGATTCCTCACAAGTTTTAATTACACCATACTAGTTATAGCAGAACCCAATAAGTTTATGTTGTATATGCAATCCAGAAGGACAACGATGACCGCGCCGACAGTTCTCCGAGCGCCCAGAGCTTTCATAGCTCCCGGAGCACTTCTAGCGCTGGCCAGGCAGACACGCTTGAGGCAGCAAACAAGTTCAGAAAGACGTATCAAACTATTTGATCTCTTCCACTCAAAGCAGACAGTTGGTTGATGCTAATCGTCTCGATATATATATAGGATGTAGATTGCCTTTCACGTTGGGTACTGCAGTGCTCAGTCATATATCTACGAATCACATAGCATTTGACCGTCATAACTTCTTCATTACTTCATCACTATCATCTGATTAGTATTTTTTCACACCTCCTTTTATACCGAAACATTTTCCTTCTACTGAAGTCAAACCAAACAAAAAGGTCACAGTACCATCGACACCGGCTCAATCCAACGCTCCAAGCACTTACTCGTGCTCAATCAATTCCCCAATGTCGCTCCGGTATCAGTCCTATACCAATTACTTTTCGGGTCGCCCAAACAATCCCCCACCGTAACAGCTTTATATCCCGCCTTTTGCAACCCCTGCAACATATACTCAACGAGCACATTGGCCGTCTGATTATGTATGTCATGGCCGATGACTAGAAATTCATCGGTCGTTGGTGACTTACCAGCTATGGCAGTGTCAAATATCGTTTTGGAGTTTTGGATTAGAGATGGCGAATCGTTGAGGTAGTCGGATGTATCGAGGTCCTGGAAAAGGTTGTGTTAATTTGGTTACAAATGGGATTGGGAAGAGGGAGAGGTACGAAATATGTTATATGGTAGCCTAAAGCGGCCATGTCTGCTTCACAGCCACATTCTACAAGTACATTGGTTAGCTTTGTTTGTTTATGTACAACTATCTTCGACAAAAAGGTATTGGTTTCTGCTTACCTGCATTGCAAGATGAGTACGGAGGACGCATGTACGTCGGAATGACGCCAACTATATTCCGCAATGCCATCTCATTTTTGTACATCTCATCTTTGCGCTGTGTGGACGTGATGTTGCAGAGATCGGCGTGAGACCAGGTGTGAGAGGCTAGTTGGTGACCACCATCGTACATGCGTCTGTTTGCTGTTGTTAGTCTCGAATTCGGGATATGGGATTCAGATTCGAAGAGAGAGAGACGTACTTAATTAAAGCAGGGTATTCCGTGCTTGTATTATCGATTGACCCTTTGCCTACATCAAGTAGTGAGTCAGTACTGGAGACCAGTAGGTTCAGAATGGTCTGTGGACCTCAACTTACCATTATTGATACCAGTAATAAAAAATGTCGCTTTAGCATTATATTTATCTAGAAGATCCATAATATGACATGTGTATATAAATGGCCCATCATCAAACGTCAAAGCCATGTCACCAGCATTTGCACAATCATATATGCCTGCTGAGCCGTAAAGTACAGACCCAATCTGGTCTCGAGGAATCGACGAGGTGTTAGTTCCTGAAGGGACCTTGTTGGCGTCACAGGCTGGGCCGTAATTAAATTGGCAATCAGGGGCATTGCAATATTCTATTTGCTTTGGTGTCAGCAAGATCCATATTTGAAAGGGTAAAAACTCAGACAATGTGTGTTTACCTGGGCCAGTGCCGCAGAATCCAGCAACCGAACAACACTCATTCGATGCGCAAGTACCGAAAGTCGCTCCACATTGCCCGTTCGTGCTCGTGCCTGGTGTACTTGTACTGCTTGTGGAGCCATTCGAGGAACCAGTACAAGTCCCAAATGCGGATTGGCAACCTGCCTCAGCGGTGCAATAATCAGTGGTGTTTCCACACCATCCACTGTTTAAACGAGATCAATCAGTACAGAGTCAAACTCAAATCCAAAACACGAATCAAATAGCTTACTTTCTAGAACAGCAAGGTCGATCACTGTCGCAGGCATACCCATTTACACCCGCTCCAGTCATTCCGCACGTCTCGTCAGGCGTGATAGTTCCCGCGCTCGGAGCTGTACAGTTCCCAAAATCTGACTGGCAACCTACAGTCGTCAAGCAGTACGCATTTGTTGAACCGCAAAAGCCGTTTACAGAACAGCAGGGTAGATCTGAGGGACAGGTGTAGCCATCTGCACCTCCACCTGTACCATTACGTCCACAGGTGTTGTCTGGGGAGATGGCTCGTTTAGAAAAAGGTTGCAGAATGCTGGCTGAGGATGCAGGGAGACTGTATAGTAGCAGGATAATTGAGATGATAGGTATATGCATGTTGAATTCTATACAGGTAATATTGACAAGTAAAGCTTGATTATTTGGGGCATGAACGAAAGGATGAGATGAAATATGCTAACGAACGTGCCAGTCTGCCAGAGACGAGAACAGAAGCAAATCCAAGAGACCGAGCATCATAATCAAAAAAGCGGGACAGCGAACAGAGATATAGCTATCATTTCAATACTAAACTAGACAAGATACGACTGCGAGCCATCCTGAAAATAAACAGAGTTCAAGACTACGAACCGTGTTCCAGAAACAGGAACCGCCCTGACCTAGTATCAAAGACCAAGACCAGGCAAAGCTGAATTACAGAAACGAATCACCGCAAGCCAAACATCGGATGAGAGATGTACGAAACAACTTTCAAGACTTGCTTGGATCTTCTCCTGGGATGAGAGCTCGACAGCGAGGCGAGGTATTTTGAAACGGGAGCTGGGACGTGTTGGCTGGTTCTTGAGGGGCTGTCTGTGCTGAGTCTGGAGCAATCCAGTCTGGGCATGGTGGACTTGTGAAGTTGCGCAGAAGGAGGTCATTAATAGATAATAGAAACACAAACCCCATTGATCATTCCAGGGACCTATGTTGGACAATCTTGGATGTGCTTGTTTTCTTAATGCATGGAATGAAGGAGTGAAGCTGTTGCGGTAGCCATTTGCCGTCTCTGACGAAGCCCAGCGTCACCACCAAGCCACTTTTTCAGGGGCTCGCTTACACCGGCTGGCTTGTTAGCCTGACAGCTTTCCGTTCCATCGCCGATAGTAAACACCCGCGAATTTGATGGACAAAATCTAGTTTCATGAAATCAAGCACGACTGAAAAACTTAAAGCCCAAAATCGTCACGATTCTGATTCACTGACCTCACGTTTAGGTGGCAGAAGTCCGGACCAGAAATTCGCGGTTCATTGTTTATTTACAAACGTAATTGGCCATGTAATTGTAATCTCAAAACTAGCATTACTTTTGATCCCCCCGGGAAAATCGATTATTATCAGTAGATCCCTGTTACTATTCCAACTTAACAAAACATGAGTTTCCTTGCAATGACATTAAAGTCCTCTCTGCAAAACAAGAGCCATCCCCAAGAACCCAACAGCACCCACAATAATAGCAACGAAAGCATTGGTCTGCGCAGCTCCAGCAGAAATCGTGCTCGAAGCCTTTGCACTTGACGACCCAGTTCTCCCCGTCGTAGTACTAACACTCGTTGCCTGCCCACTCGAGCTCGCCGTGAGGATGGAGCTGCGCATGATGGAGTTTGTTTATATATGACTGTAGTGACTGATTTGCGAAGAGACATCCAACGGTCGTAGGAAGCTAGTGCTACAGAACAAGTAAGCTCAAAGTCTTCAATACACAATTTAGGAACGGGGATTTTCCAGTCTATAAAAGCTTACATGACGCCCTCCCAACTTCCTAATCTCCACCAGCAAAGGAGATCACTCATCAGTGCAGCATACACTTGTGGAACTCATCATCTGAACACAACATGCTGATTGGGTTGGATGTAGGTAACTTGGTAACATTTGTAGAAGTTGATTGGATGGCATCTTGCGTGGTTGAGCAGTATTGGAAATATCTCTGTCCATCCACGTTGGTGGCTGCTTGTGTTTTACGCGAGGCGTCGAGGGCAGGAATAAGGGTACACGATTTTACCGGATGTTGGGGAATGCTGGCTCTGATATAGGTACTTTCTTCCAAATGAAGTGCACTGATCAAAGATATTGAAAAGCGGTTGTAACTTGGAATGCTGTGATCGAATTTTTGTAATCCTGATGTGTTCGTGGGAAAAGATGTCGCCGCTCGATTGAGCGAATGCGTTACACAAGACTGAAATATTGGTGAACATCTCGTCCACGAAGTGACGCCAGAACAAAAAGACATAAAAAATGATGTTCAGACGAGGAAAACAGGCATGGTTGAAAGGACGTGCCAATGCAGAGTAGACTTCCGCGAAACTGTTCACGAACGTTGTTTGTGTTACCAGCAATTTCATACATTCTCTCTCATGTTACAAGGATATATCGTCAAAATTATGCAATTCTTTCCACAGAAACATGCTCTACCATACTGCCAGAAGTACTACTCGATATTAAGTACCATGTATTTTCCGTCCAGGCCCCCAGGCCAAATGCAATTGATCATCATGCACGTTTTCCAGATTGGACCTCTAAACCGTTCAAGTTGGTATATCCTCCGGTGTAACGCCAAAAACTCCTTAATGTGAGGGTCGCCTCGATCCATCAGACCTCTCGCGCATGGGGAGAAGTTCAATCCGGTCCTATTGGTAGTATTAACACCAGCTTGGTCATCTCGCCACTCCGTAGGCGGTAGTCTCGCCAGTACCCACTTCGTTCGTAAGGTTTCTCTGATGGACCGCTCTTCCAGCTTCCAGATCTGTGTCGTTCCTCTGCAAAATTTCCTCGTGACGCTTCTCCCGGCTTCCGACGTAGTTTCCAACACCAACGCCGGCCCAGAAACTCCTATCTCGACTTCTTGGGCCCCAACTCCATCCAGCGCCTTGGTTGATCGGAAGATGATAGTAGCGGAACGCAAATACGGATGTGACGAAGCCAATGAAGTAGCCAAACAGAATGTCAAAACCGTGATGTCTAAAATCTGAATATCTTGTCGACGCAATGTAGATAGAACCAAAGAAGGGCAAAACAGCAATGACCAACAGGTACACGGGAGGTCCTGCTGCTTGGTTGCGGGCCGCAATAACAGCGTCATCATGTCCTGATGGCTCATGTAGATCATCCCCGCCCATGGACTTGTCTCGACTCTCTACACTGCGGTTCTCCATAGCTCTCGCAGTTGAAGCACGAGAAGGAAAGGCAGACAATTGCGTAGCGCTGGAGCCAGATGCGAGGAAGGGAATAGTTATAGCTAATTTCGAGGCCAGGAAGAGACTGAGGTAGATGAGACCCCCAGAAGAAAAGGAAGCATGGCCACTGGGAAAACCTGTAAATTCCACAGTCAGCTAACAGAATCTGGAAAATTGGTGCTAATCACATGAGAGTGTCCTGGGTGGTTTGGCGAACTTACTTCGAAACCCATCGTCCAATTTCGCCTTGTCTGACTGCTGGCAGATTTTCGCAGACACTACATTGAAGTTCTCGTAAATACTTCCTGCAAGAAACTTCGAATAGGTATAATTCGCAAGGTTGGCCATGTCTGGCTCACAACGTGAGAGAAGATCTGGACGAGGCTTTCCGAACAGGTTCTTCATTCCACTAGTAATCAGGAAAGATGCCGACAGAGAAAGCGCCAATCCCAACCATCCAGTGTGCCATTCCCAAAGTTTGCGTTTCCATATCAGTGATTTTGGTATTGCTTTCGAAACCGTAGGGCCCGGCACAAGGACGAGGCAGACGAGGAAGATGATTACGGCTGGACCAGCGAGAGCGGAGCAGCCCAGTGTAACCAAGGAGACTTTCTCATGTTCTACGTGCGGGAAACTGATTTCGGGGTTTGTGAGCGAAAAGGGTCTCATATTTGGTGTGATATTTGCCAGTAAAGCTCCCACACCAGCAGCGACAATAATTATGACCCAGTCGACAATGTATGAAGCCACCAGGAGTTTTGAGAATCCGCCATTTTTGGCACGCGACACCATGGATTGCCTCATTGTTGCAGTTGTTTACGGATCCGTTCGCTTGTTCGTTTGTTCGTATGCTCGATTAGAAAGGAAATGTCTGGTGTATGCCGTGCATCTGATTCAGCCGGTCGAGCCCAAATGTTTTCGCAGCACGAGATGGGAGCAGCAGTTCTTCTTAAGAAAGGAGCTGGCGGCCTTTGCCAATGCTGCTGCTGCTTGTGGGTGAGACAGGGTGAAGAAGAAGATGGGAAACGATGGGGTGGCTTGGACAGGGATTACGACCATTAAATCATCCCGGGCTGACGTGATTCGACGGCGGTCCCGCCAAGTCAACCCAAAATACTCGAAGCCTACCGCATTGTGGTAAGCGCACGATTTAGGGAATGAGACACACGACACTTGAATGGCCCGAGGCGAGGCTGGGCACGAGAAGACGAGTGACACCCAAGGCGCACAATAATGACGATGACGAGGACGAGGACTCGAAGCTAGATTCCAGGATTTTGAAGATTGCAGAGTCCATCCAACAATCTGGATATTTGCCGCGTGCTTTTTCTGCAGTGCATTGCATTGCAGTGTCGAGGTAGCGAGCGCAGCAAAGTTCCTTTTTAATGGTTCAAGGAGGTCGTTCATTCTCACCTACATGTTTCTCTTCTCGCCAAGGTCTTGTTGCAAACTTGGTGTTTGAACAGCCTCGATGGTCCGCTTTTGCTGACTTCGGGGGGGCCAGCGGCCAGATAGGGGCCTCGCTTCAGACGCAGACCCGCTGTGTGGGCTGGGGTAGAATGAATGTTGACCGCGGTTATGACTCTATTTTGAATCATCAAACAGTCCCGTCGAGATCCCCTCCTGTGCAAGACTCGTAGCCGCCACCGGTTAGGCGTCTTTCGCTGCGAGCTGACAAGCTCTCGTGTTTCGCTTTTCCTCGTCCGTTGGCTCATCTGATGCATACTGGCTCCAGCAAACCTGGTTCCAGAAGGGATCTTTTGGTTGATCTCATCAAAGTTGATCTGATCTGATCGGCGAGCAATTCGCAGTTTGCCTCCATCTCAGCCTCCTTAATGACGCGATCCTCACAGGGATCTGCTGTTGGACGAGGCACCTCGACTCGGGCAGGTGAACGAGATGCCGGACAGGCCCATTTGCCGAAATTGCACTGATTGGCCAAGCATTTTGGAGTGAGAGAAGAGAATCGCGAGAAAAATTCCCTTGTTATGAACGCCGAAAAGTTGACAACAGGCATATGTCCGATGACCGATCCTATCCCAGAAGTATCCCGCAACAACGTTCTTCCACGTCCCGAACCAACGGCAGTTGAGCAGCAGAATTGACCAATGCCCGCCCGCCCAGCGCGGGGATGTATTTCTATCCCCGCTCTAGCTTCTCCATGTTGAAGCTCGACGTCATGACATTTGAGAATGAGCTGTGGTTTTACTGTTCTGAAGAATACTGCCTCGAGCTTGACGTAGTTAGGTGGATATGTAACGCAATCAAAATTCTGACCAAAGTTGCTCATTTTCTTCGTGTATTTTCTTCCTTTAACATGTATTCGCGAACAGCTCGTATATCCGTATCGGCTTCATCAAGAATCTCTCAGGTATCTTCACACATCCAAAGACGCAACATGGCATCTGGAACTACACATACGCTCAATACTGGAGCAAAAATCCCAGCCATTGGCTTTGGGACCTGGCAGGATAAGGATGACCAAGAGAAAGCTGTAACCGAAGCTTTGAAGGCTGGATATTTGCATATTGATACTGCGGCTAGTCAGTTGGCACTTGCAAGCTATATTGGATTCTTGGAGCATATACTAATGATTATTAGTATATGGGACCGAGCCCATGGTAGGAGCTGCCATCAAGAAGAGTGGCATTGACCGATCCAAACTCTTTATCACCACCAAGCTCTGGAACAACAAGCATAAGCCTGAAGACGTAGAAGGAGCTCTTGATCAGTCTCTCAAAGATCTGGGAATGGACTATGTCGACCTGTATCTCATGCATTGGCCATCAGCATTCAAGCCAGGTCAGTTTTCTCTACCAATGTTTCAATTCCACCACACAGGCCCCGATGCTAATTTTCCACCTAAAGGCGACAACAAATTTCCCAAAGACAAAGACGGCAAGACTGAAACAAGCAACATTAGCTATGTAGATACCTGGAAAGCAATGGAAAAGCTCACGTCATCCGGCAAAGCCCGCGCCATTGGCGTGTCGAACTTCTCCAAGAAAGAACTTGAAACACTCTTGAAAGAAGGCAGTGTCGTTCCAGCAGCCCACCAGATCGAATGCCACCCGTGGTTACAGCAGAAGGATTTTTGTGACTGGCATGAGGAGAAGGGCATCCATGTACAGCATTACTCGCCGTTCGGGAACCAGAACGAGATTTATAGCTCGGGACAGAACATGGGCAAGTTGATGGTATGTAAAATTCTCGTTCTGGGCTGTCTGATCTATTTCGCGCATACATCGATTGCGAAAACAAATTGACTAACAATCCTAATTACAGGACGACCCTGTCCTCGTTGAGATCGGCAAGAAACACAATAAAACCGGTGGACAAGTCGCATTGGCGTGGGGTGTTACACGAGGTCACTCCGTCCTTCCCAAATCCAAGACGCCATCTCGCATCGCGCAGAATCTAGAGGGCGATTTCAAACTTACAGCTGAAGATATGAAAAAGATTGAGAGTGTGGACAAGAAATTGCGGTTCAATGATCCGAGTGAGTCGTTTGGGTATAAATTTTATGCCGATTTGGAGGGGAAGAAGAATTGAGTGGAGTGGCGAAAGCATGAAGTTGTTAGGGTTATGGGGGAGAATTTGGATGCGATGTACAAACAAATTTGTGACAGTATAGATCGAAATCGATGGTCAAGGTTGGGTTGAAGCTATATGTGACTGCGTGATTGTAGCGAGAGACTCTGGATCAATGTCTAGCTTGTTATCGCAGTGTGGTCTTGCAAATGTAAACTTACTTGCCAAGTGACACTGCCCCGAACAGCCCGTTATCCTAACGAACGCCATTATCATTGTAGCAAGCAACATGAAGCTCTCCTCCTCCGCTGTTATATCGGATAGAAAACCCAAGCCTGGCTTGTCCTTAATTATAGTCGAAGAGTGAGATGTTCACATCTGAAAGACGAGGTATAGGGAATAGAGACTAGAGAGTCCAAAGTACAGAGTTTTCGCTTGATTGTTTTTAGAGTTCACGTCCATAAACAATCAAATAAGGTCTAGCGGAAGGGAAAGGTTTATCTCTTTGACAGATCTGACAGTACTTGTTAGGAATTGTCAATTCCCGTATGAGTCACCACTGAGAGCTCTTGTGATCTAGGATATATAAGGATATTGCGTCTTGAATATTAGGTGGAGCGGCGGAAGGAGAGTTGAACGTGAACCAGGCCCAAGCAAAGTCTTTACTTGGCTATAGTTCTTCTTGGCAGAACGTACGACCCAGGGCACAGGTGGGAAGAGACAACAGGTCATGGCGAGGTTGTATGGTCTTACACAATTCAGCCTAGAGCAATTGGAGGCTATACAGAGCACACGCCCTGAGGAATACATCTTCATATCAAAATACGCCATGGGCCATGGGCCAAGCCATAGTAGTCAGCAGCACACAAAAGAAAACTCTTACAGGCAAGCATTGTACCGCGCATAGGTATACTCAAAACACCATCCCATCCTGACTTTAGTGCTACACCCTTAAAACGACTCAAGAAATCTGCACCGCCCCGTCTTATCTGTCCCATTTCCCGCATGGCGTGAAATCTTACACAATGGAGCTTGCCTATATCCATGGAGTGCCTATTTAGTGGTTGGGGGGTCACGTCCATAAGCAGCCTTGTACTCTTTGAGGTATCGTTGCTTGTCCGCTTCCGCACGTTCGGTGTAAACCTACGAAAAATTAGGAAAAATGTACCGGAGACTAATAATTGAAACTCACCTGTCGGTCAGACGCTGAGAGCGCCGCCCATTCCTTCGATATGAGCTTGCCTGAATCGGGGACCGATATTCCTTTGAAATCTCCAGACTCCCATCTATCCGCGCAGAAGAGGACCAAGGGTTGAGAAGCGCGTTTCGGTTGACGTTCATCCCTGATCAGGGGATAAGCGCTGAGGCGCTTCGCGCCTTTAGCAATGAGCGTTCGCAAAGATTTCCGAGCGCTATTGGCAATGCGGATCTGATCAGGGCTGTAGCTTTCGACCCAATTCTTGTAAGCTACTTTGTTGTCTGCCCCATTTTGGGTGGCAATGTGGTTGTACGACTATGTTGGAGTTAGTATTTTAGTTATCCTGGATGTTGGAGCCATACCTCGAGTTCCGCTGCACTCAATGACTTGTACTTTCTAGCAGCAGCAGCACTTAAGGTACCCATACTTTCGCCAGTAGTTCCTCTCATGACTTCCGCCAGCAAGATAGACCAAGCTGTGCTTGGCTTTGACTTTGGGATTTCAAGTGCTGCTTCTTTCAAAGCCTTGAGGTTCTCCCTTCTCTTCTTATCCTCGATCCTAAGCTTCTGTGCTTCGGACAAGACCTTCTTGGGCTTTTTGGCGGGCTTCTTAGCCACAGCCTTTTTCTTCACTGGCTTCTTTGCTGGCTTCTTTGTTGGCTTCTTGACGGCCTTCTTGACAGGCTTCTTAGCAGCCTTCGTCGTCTTAGGCTTCGTGGTTGTTGTCTTGCTGGCCTTGGGTTTTGTAGCGACTTTGGTAGCTGTGGCATATGACCTTTGAAGATAGAAGGCGAATCGGGGCCCAGATGAAGCATTGTCGGCATTTTGGAGGGTTTCAACGCGTTGGAATTGCCAGAGCCCTTGCAGAGCTCGGTTTGTTGATTGTGGACCGCGCGCAACAACTCTCCTGACGGAGGCGCGTCCTATGTTGGACAACATGATGGTGGACTGTGAGGTCGCAGCAGATGCGGCCCTCGGTAGCAAGTATGTGAGTGGAGATTCAGAGAGGGTGTGGTTGGTGGTTGATGAGGCTGATGTTGGAGGGAGGAGGTCATTTAGCTGTCGCGGATCCTGTTCCTGACTGGGCGGCGGCCAGCTCCCAGCCCCCTTCCTTTCACACGCGAGCTGTGCTGTGCTGTGCTGTGTTGTGCAGCTAACGCGCTAGTAATCCTTGTGCTTGTAATAAGCGCAAGCGCGCCTACGATGTGAGTGACTTGACTGCCGGGACGCTCGACCTCTCGAAGGCAGATCGTGTGCATTCCAGCTGTTGACCTTATCTCGCATATCCTCTCACGCTTAAGACAGAAGCTGCTTTGCGCCGCCTCAGATATACTTGCAATACAAATCAATTCGGCTGGTTTGTACTAGGACTGGACTACTCAGGGCTGCTAACAGCGCCATCATCGATTCCTGCCAGAAAGTATTTCTGCCGTTGACTTGGGGCAAAAATGGCTCGGCACAGGGACTCTCGCTCACCATCGCCAGCAGGAAGCCACCACTCATCGAAACGCGTTAAGAGAGAGGATGATGTCAGACGAGAACGGGATAGGAGGGACGATGTTCGGCCGCAGCGGCGGCGAAGTCGCTCTAGGAGTGTAGATGTGAGATACAAGCGTTCCATTCCACCCACACCACAAATTACTGACAGATCCTGGATGCAGCGCCGCCACCGAGACCGCGATATGCCCAGACGAAGAGATCGATCGATAGACCGACGAGAGGAAGACTTTTACCGTTCCGGACGAAGAGACCGCTCAAGAGATCGCCGAGACAGATTTGATCGAGAGCGCTCCCCAGACAGGCGCCGACGTAGAAGTCGGGATCGGGATTATCGAGACAGGCGAGACGATTCTTATGAAAGGGCACGAAGGCGCCGCGAGAATTCTACTGACTCAAGGCCCCGTAGTAGAGGTGATGGAAACTTCAGCAAAGCCGCGAGTAAATCTGACAATGCCAAAACGAGCGAGGTTAGTAGTATTCAGCGCACTGGATTGATGCCGAATGCTAAGCTATCTATGCAGCCAGCAAAGCCCGCTGGGCCCCCAGTACAGACAGAAGCCGAGAAAAAGGCTGAGCGACTGGCCAAATTGGAGGCATGGAAGAAAAAAATGGCTGAAGATAAGGAGCGGAAGGAGAAAGAGCTTGCTGCTGGGGGAACTCGGAAACTTCTTGATGAGATAGACCAGAAGACCAACGGAACGCCTTCGGTCGCATCTCCAGCCTCGCCCTCCACCCCGGTCAGCTTGGCATCACCGGCACCTTATGCTGGCAAGTTCGATCCGAAGGCAATAGCAAAGAAAGCAGTGGCGAATTCAAGCTCGACAAGCGCTATCGGGAAGGATCTGCCACTTAAAGAATTAACTAAAGCGTCCGCTACCTTAACATCTTCGGTCAAAGGATTACAAGCTGACAAAAAGACAACAGCTTTCAACAGCACGTCCAAAGGTACGTTTCCAAAGGCTCATGGCTCCTGTGTCACCTCTGCTGACCGCTTTGAAATAGCATCTGCTCTACCTAAAGCCAGAGGGAATTTAAGTGCGTTCGGCTTAGGCGCCAAGTCTGCCACTGATAGCGAGAAGGCTACATCAAAGCGAACACTCGACTTTGGTGAAGACGATGATGCTAGAAAGAAGTTAGAAAAGCTACCGACCCTACCTTTGGCAAACATTGTGGATGACGATACTGCGCTCGCTAACGTTGCAGAGGGAGAAGATGATGACGACGACATTGATATGGAAGACGCTGGAACGGAAGAAGAAGCTGCAGCAGCAGCTCGCGCCGCAGCAGAAAAACGCGAAGAGAGATTACAGGAGCAAAGCCTTGCAAAGGAAGGCGATGCAATTCAAGATGCTACCGAAACACAGGTTGATGTCAATGGAGGCATCAAGATGGAAGAAAATGTGGCAGCGCAACTTGAGCCAACCTCAATTGAAGAGGATGATGAGATTGATCCTTTGGAAGCCTTCATGGAGCAGATGGGCGACCCTTTTGCCGCTCCCAAGACGACTGACACTTTCAACAAGAACAAGAGCAAGAGCCAGAAACAGCAACCAGAGGCGCTGTTCGGCGACGATGACGTGGACTTGAAGGCCATGGAGGCTGATCCCGACGATATTCTTGCCATGGCAAGTAAAGCCAGGAAAAAGAAGGAATTGCCAACAATCAATTATGCGAAACTGGATTTGGAACCCGTTCGGAAAAATTTCTATTCCGAACCAGCAGAGCTCGCCGATATGACCGAGGCTGAGCTTGCGGATCTTCGCCTTGAACTTGACGGTATCAAGGTGGCTGGGAACGACGTTCCGAAACCTGTCCAGAAATGGTCACAGTGTGGTCTGAACGTACAGTCATTGGAAGTCATCCGCAAGTTGGGATATGAGAGACCTACTGCTATCCAGATGCAAGCTGTCCCTGCAATCATGTCCGGAAGAGATGTCATTGGGGTTGCGAAGACTGGATCTGGTAAGACTATCGCCTTTCTGCTCCCAATGTTCCGCCACATTCGGGACCAGCGACCCTTAGAGGGCTCAGATGGCCCAATCGGTTTAATTGTGACTCCTACAAGAGAACTCGCTACCCAGATCCATAAAGAGTGCAAACCCTTTTTGAAGGCCATGGGACTTCGTGCTGTTTGTGCTTATGGTGGAGCTCCCATCAAGGATCAGATCGCTGATCTCAAGAGAGGCGCTGAGATTATTGTCTGCACGCCTGGCCGGATGATAGATCTTCTTGCAGCAAATTCTGGTAGAGTTACGAATCTTCGTCGGGTTACTTATGTGGTACTCGACGAAGCTGATCGTATGTTTGACATGGGATTCGAGCCACAAGTCATGAAGATCTTCGCCAATATTCGGCCTGATAGACAGACCATTCTCTTCTCCGCCACCATGCCTCGTATAATGGACGCTCTAGCAAAGAAGACCCTCCAATCCCCAGTCGAGATAACAGTTGGAGGAAGAAGTGTTGTGGCCCCTGAAATCACCCAAATGGTCGAAGTCCGTGAGGAAAAAGAAAAATTTCATCGTTTGTTGGAACTTCTTGGGGAGCTTTACAATGACGACGAAGATGCCAGAACTCTCATCTTTGTCGACAGACAAGAAAAAGCCGACGATCTTTTAAAGGATCTCATGAGAAAAGGTTATCCCTGCATGTCTATCCATGGTGGGAAAGATCAAATTGATCGAGACTCTACCATTGACGATTTCAAGGCCGGTGTTGTGCCCATCATGATTGCAACCTCTGTAGCTGCTCGTGGTCTAGATGTTAAGCAGCTGAAACTCGTCGTCAACTTCGATGCTCCAAATCACTTGGAAGACTATGTTCACAGGGCAGGTCGAACAGGCCGTGCTGGGGCCAAAGGAACAGCTGTAACGTTTATCACCGAGGAACAGGAGCAATACTCAGTGGGTATCGCTAAAGCACTTGAACAATCTGGTCAGCCAGTGCCCGAGCGACTAAATGAAATGAGAAAATCATTCAGGGATAAGGTCAAGACTGGCAAATCAAAGGATAGTTCTGGATTTGGTGGCAAAGGTATGCTTGGGCTCCAACTCACTTGCGAATACACGCTAACTTGTCTCTAGGTTTGGAACGCCTTGATGCGGAACGCGAAGCTGCTAGAAACCGTGAGCGGAAAACACACAAAACTGACGGCGATGATGAGGAGGAGAAAGACGACAAGGTTGACGATGAAGACATCGTTCTCAAGGCTGCATCAACTGTTCAACCTGCATCCACTGCTCCTACGCCTCAATTATACGGAGTTCCTAAGGGTATTGACCTTGATGGAAAGATTACTGTACATCGAACCGAAACCGCGGTGTCGTCAGGCGGAGGATCTAAGAATCCCCTTGACAAAGTCACTTCGGCTATCGATGCGATCAATGCCCGGTTGAATAAGACCGGTCAACTGCGATCCGGTGTGCCAATTGACAACAAAGGTCCTGACGCTGGTGCTTTCCATGCAACCCTGGAGATTAATGACTTCCCTCAAAAAGCTAGATGGGCTGTCACGAATCGAACGAACGTTGCCAAAATCCTGGAGGCTACTGGCACATCCATTACCACCAAAGGTAGCTTCTACCCTGCTGGAAAGGAAGTCCAGGCAGGTGGAGATCCCAAGTTGTACATTCTTGTTGAGGGTGACACCGAGGTTGTGGTCACTAACGCAATGAGGGAGCTGATGAGGTTGCTCAAAGAAGGTACCATGGCGGCTGCTGATGCTGAAGGCAGAGCGCCTGCTAGTGGTAGATACAATGTCGTGTAGGCTATTTGGTAGACGATTCAAGCCTATGCGATCAATGATAATATGTACTAGGACGCATCACATTCCACCTGGCCACAATCATTGTCCCATCATGATTTCGTGGAATGTAGGAGGTAACTCTATATGCATGTCCATTGCTCAAAATCCAAAATTCAATGCTCAATCCTAAGACACCTCGCTAACAACCCTAATCGATCAATTGTATGCTCTCGCCTCCGCGGCTGAATCCGCATCTCTCAGCCTCCGCTCTTCTTTGCTGAGTCCTTCCAAAGTATCCGATCTTGTCTGCTTCTTCTGCTCCTGTAACTGGCTCCCTAACTTGCCTTTTGGCTTACTCGCAGCATTCGCTCTGGCCTGTGAATCATGAGTTAACATCCACTATTTGCTCTATACTTTTGCTCTAAAGATTGAAGAACTCCCAAGAGTCTATCACCCATTTCCTCATATCGACGGCACTGCATCACAACAGGAACTACAAACTCACCTCCGCTGCCTCCGCCGCTTTCCTCCTCGCATCCTCCTGCGCACTACCGCTCTGACCCCCGGAACCTAAAGTTCGAGGCGGTCCTCCGACTACCACTTTCTTCGGGACGCTGGCTGTCGGATTCTGGTTCTGTGTTCCTGAAGCTGGGTGTGCTTCTGCGAGAGTGCGGCCGGGTTGCGCGAAGGCGTCAGAGGATTCTTTGCCGCAGAGGTTACCCATTGCTGGTTGTACTTCAAGGATGGAGATGTGAGGTTTGTTTGAAGTATTTGCGCAGATCGAGGGATGTGCTGGTGGGCTATGAGACTTGAAGGCGCATGAGTTTGAATTGGGAGATTATTCGAGTGTTGCGCAAGCTCGAGGCGGGGATCCTTGGAGATGGAGGTGCAGAGCCTTGGCGCGGATAAAGAGGAAGGAGCCTGTACTTGGCGGGTCTTGATGGTGGATCTATGTGTAGGTATTTGACCTGTCCTGTGCTCGAAGACGATTGGAAACAATCAATCGAGTTTTTCCATTCTGCTTTGATGCTAGGAAGCTGAGGGAAAAGGCTTCCTATATTCCTGCTTGACCCTGGAAGGATGGGCGTGAGTGTTGATCCTCTATCGTGAATGTGTGTTATCGATAAGGATTTGGGAAGAGTCAGCCTCGTTGATGTTAATAAAGAATTGAAAATTGAGAAAATATATGACTGTAAATTATTTCAGGTCCAAGCCAACTGACTGACATAAGAAGTAACTTAGCTTGCCTTGTACGTCCTTTCAAAAGTTTTCAGCAATTTGACTGCTTCCGTAAATACACTTTATCAGCCTCGCAGACAGGCTCCCAGGGCGGTCAGCCACCAGGGCACGGAGAGGAGACCAGTTACGGAGAACCTGATGGGTTGATCAACAAAGAGAATATATTTCTACCAAGCCATTCCAATTCTGGAGACACAACTCCTCAGTCTCTTCATCCAATAAGGGCATACTTACATTCTCACTTATGCCGTCGTTGTCGTCGTCGTCGTCTTTGTTGACCTCCGGAACTTGTTCACGGTAACTACCCGACCTTATCTCCTATTGTTGGACCAATTAAAAGTAAGCGCTCGCTTTTGCATTCTAATCCCAGAACGCAACCACCTTGATGGGTATGGCTATGGCAACATTTTGTCAGCCTCTTTTCTTTCCCAGACCCCTCATTCTGGCTTTCTTGTAAAACGAGAAGGATTACTGCTTGTACCACCACGACTATCTCGTTTTGTGCTTGCGACAGTTATCTTCGCTACTCGCCTTTCCTCGGGTTCGACGACGACGACCCTCGATCCCCAGTCGATCCTGCAGGTCTATGTACCGAGAGATCGACAAGACTTGCATGTAATAGCCGGAGCGTTACATATTCAAGACATTGAACATGGACGGCGATAATATGGGCTACGTACCGAATTTGCCTTCGTACGATCCCCATCTCGACTATGCCACAAGCACAAGCGACTATTGGCAGCAGAGCTTTGCACAACAACATGACCCTCAGCCAACCCACTCGGCTCCCTTCTTTGAAAACCAACAAGATGTTTACTTGACGGGAAGCGAACATAAAACTACTTCAATGTTCTCATTTACTGGAGCACACACGCAAACGTATCGACCCTTTCCTGCCAGCACGATGCAGTCCTACGAAACAAGCGACAACTCGGCGCAAAAGTCACATATAGATCTCGCTGAGAGCCCCAGACAACCACCTTCTAAACGCCAGCGAATTTCTCAAGTCAACTACGATACTCGAGTAACCGGTGCTACCATCCACGAGTCAGATCGCGCCTCGTTGTGTGGCACCGAAAGCGAATGCTGTAGTAGTTGCTCGGGAGGCATACCTTGCGATGAACCTGACTGCAGTCCATGTGATGAGGTCAACTGTGTGGGTGCGGCAGTGGAAGTTTGTAGTGTTGCCTCTTGCTCCAAACCGGCCTGTCGTGATGAGTGTCTTTCAACTGCTTTCCAAGCCCAAAGCTCACTAGGCAATGTCGTTGAACCATCAGAGGACATCATGGCGAACCTGGAACCGGCTCCGTGGAGTGCTCAAGCACAGCAAAGCATAGGAAAGTTCCGTACTCCAACTTCAAAGGTCGATCCTGCGATAGTGCAGTCATCCCCTGCGACGACACCTTCCATGGCGCACCATAGTGAGACACCAGGATCTCCTTACCCAGCACTTCCTACTCCTCAGAACAACATGTTCGATCAACAAGCGTCATACTCAAGTCCAGCCATGGGTGAGCTCTCGGGCACCGGAGCCATGTTCCAAGATTCGTCCGAACAATGGAATGATAACTCCTTTGGAGCTACCCCAGAAGTCCTACCTTGCGGATGGGAAGGTTGCAACTTTGTCTGCATGAGCCACGAGGAGTGGGTTTCGCACTTTCACTCTGCTCACATAGATACGCAGATGCAATTCGGATGTCCTGTCCCTGCAGATAACTGCCCACCAACGTTAGATGCAAACCCATTCGATCATCTCCAGACTGTCCATGGTTATGAGTTTGATTTCAGTTCGGGAACATTTAGTTGTCCTGCAACAACTTGTCCAGCAGACCAGACTTATGGTAGTCCAAGGATGTTTCATGACCACTTGGACCATTATCACGCAACTCCAGTGCAAGGGTCGCTACAATGCCGGCTGCAGACCTGTGGTACTGTCTTCAACGATCCCAACCAATTCTTCTTACATATGACCGACCATCTTCAAGGCTCGGTCTCCAAAAATGAAGAAATTGACCTTCTGGCTCCATCCACTTCTGCTACCGCCGCGGGTCCAGAGCCTGTAAATAAGCTTGAGCATTCTGATCTTGCGAACCTACCCCATGTGTGCATGTGGAAGTCAAAGAATGGAGATCATTGCAACTACGAGGGGACATCCGCCGCCGACCTCCAGGATCATGTCAAGGATCAACATTTGAGCTCTCTTGGTAAGAGTACTGGATATATCTGTCAGTGGGAGGGTTGTCGCCGTGATTCGAGTCTTGGCGACAAGTCAGGCTTCTCGCAACGTGGAAAACTAGAGCGACACATGGCGACCCATACAGGCTGTAAGTACTGTCTGTGTCTCGCATGGTACCAGTGCTAACATGTGGTTGCAGTCAAATGTTCCGTTTGCCCAACCTGTGGTCAGTTCTTCTCGGCACCTCAAGCTTTGAGGCAACATATCTTGCTCCATACTGGCGAAAAGCCATGGAAGTGTAAGCACTGTGACAAGAGATTTCCACAACAGAGTGCATGCAGTAAGTCCCCAACTAAAAATTTAAACCGGATATGAGCTAATCATCTAAAGCGATACATGAACGAACACACACCAATGAGAAGCCCCTAGAGTGCAATATCTGCGGCAAGAAATTCTCAGAATCCTCAAACCTGGCAAAGCACAGGAAGATCCACGGCGAGAAAGGACTGCACGCCTGTCCCATCCCTGGCTGTGGGAAGTCTTTCCATAGACTTGACCAGTTGAAGAGACATGCTATGACGCATGACAAGCCGCCGAAAGATGTTTCTAAGAAGAGAGCGCCGAGGAAGCAGAAGTGGAATGTTACTATAGCGGATGAATTGGAAGGGAATGGTAAGAAGGGCTTGGGAGAAGATAGAGTGAATTCTGAAAAGTCGTGAGAACTTTTGGGTTTGAGGAAATAACGACTGAAGCTGGGAAGTGAGGAGAGACTATAGCCGTCAAGTGAACCATGATAGATACGATACCCTTTTCAAAGCACGAGTTTTCCATGAGTTGAAGATAGACTCTAGCAAATAGGGCTTTTCCCAATGCATTTCAACGTGAACCTGTAAGTTTTCCGGCTCGGTATGGCTCCGTCGAGGGAGTCAAGATTGTTGATATCACTCGCTGGATACAACTTGGGGCAAACCTGGGTTGGAACGTCTCCCACCTCGAACCGTCAATCGACATTTCGAGTCGAGCCTGTCGATGCCTGTTCGATTCGCGTTCTACCCTACCTTCTCCATCACTGGACTATTGGCAGAATCATCACTCCAGAATCACACATGCCATAACAATCTGAAAAGATGCTCATGTCGTGATTTTTTAATTTTCGGGTCGGCTCCATGCCAGCCATGCTATTTCACATACACCATGACCCCAAATTCAAGAAAGCCATATGAAAGCGAGCCCCATGCCGAAAAAAGGACGAATCACAAATCCTGCCAGCCTTCCCAAGCCATTCACTCATACCCCCAAAACATCAGCTTCGTTTTCGATTTAAGCCTCTGCCTTGATGGCGTACTTTCGCTGAGGGAAATGGGTGGCGCGCTTCTTTGCCTTCTCCAGGGTCTTGCCGCTCTCGTGCTTCGTCAGGCGTCTCCGGATGGCGCGTGTCTGCTTTGGTCGGAGGTCGAGGGGGAGGTACTTCTTGTTCTTGTAGAAGAGACGGAGTTGCGAGCGTTGGTTGGCTTTGATGACTGTGAGGACCTTGGCGATTGACTTGCGGATGTCGTGGCTGTAGAGCGTAGGTTAGCTATTCGTTCTCTTTCCAGAACTCGTTCTATCTTCTGGACTCAATCCCCTCCCGATATCGTGGTTTTGATGGGTGTATCGGTATGTGTACGAGCTGAGGAGAGGGGTTGAATTCGAAGTCGCATGTGCTCTGCTGAACGAAATATCGAGATACGCACATCTTTGTGAGCTTAGAAGCTGATCCTCCAGCAATCTTTTGTGTGCGCAATTGACCGAGCTCGGTCTTCAGCTCTCCCAACTGCTTTGCAAGGTCGGTCTTGTTCTTGCTCCAGAGAGCTCCAGTCTTAACTTTGCCGGTCGACTGTAACTCGCATCCATTAGCACTTATTCTCGCAATTCGGTCCAAGTAATTGTACTGAGGGCAGGGCGATTTACCATCTTGAAGGTGTTGGCGTGGGTTGTCGTAGGGAGTTGTCGGTGTCGTCTTCGTCGATATGCGGAAATTCTTGAGTTTGCTGGAAATTTTGGCTGTGGGCGGTACTTAGCGGTACGACCTTTGATTGGCCAAAAAGCCGAATTAGCTAGCTGGGGTATACCCAGATCGAGCAGGGGCAATTGACATCACGTGAATAACGCGGCCGCGTCAGGTCAAGGCCCAACATGGAACGTTGAGCTGGAGCAAAAGAGAGCACAGCAAGAAGCTGGAATTATTCAACCATCTACAGTACTCTACAAATAAGCCGTAATGTCTTCAACTGGAACTGGATGGGCACAGCTCAGACAACAAGCTAGATCCTTAGAAACCCAGGTGAGTTAGTCGTTTGCAAGCACCGTCAAACAGTAACTGACCACCTCTACAGACCGAAACACTATTCCACACCTATTCGCAGTTCGCCGCAGTCCCAAATATACCAGCCAAACCCTCAGAAGACGAGAGACAAACAGAATCCAAATTACAAGACCTACTAGAAAAGGTACAGCAGGACAACCAGCCATGCTGAACTATACTAACAGCCCTCAGCGCGAAACGCTGAACAATCAACTCTCCCGACTCCTCGACTCAGAAGCAACCCTCACAGCGTCCGCCCTCAAGCAGAATAACCTCTCCCGACACCGCGAAGTCCTGCAAGAGCACCGGCGCGAACTCTCCAGGTTAAAGGCGCAGATCCAGGATGCCCGTAATAGGGCGAACCTACTCTCGAACGTCCGCAGCGATATCGATGCCTACCATTCCAACAACCCGGAGGCCGCGGAGGCAGATTACATGCTGGATGAGCGCGGCCGTATAGACAATAGTCATAACATGGCCGATAGTGTGCTCAGTCAGGCTTATGCAGTGAATGAAAGTTTTGGATTGCAGAGAGAGACGTTAGCGAGTATAAACAGGCGGATTACGGGAGCGGCAGCCCAGGTGCCTGGGTTGAATAGTTTGATTGGGAGGATATCGGCGAAGAAGAGGAGGGATGGGATTATTATGGGGAGCTTTATCGCTTTCTGTTTCTTAATGTTTGTATACTTTATGTAAAGGAGGCAGCTGTGCTTTATGATATGCATTGAGCGGGCGTTTTGGGGCTGGCTAGCCAGAAGATATGTTTTTGTACAATGTATGGGTATATCCGAGCATGTATCATGCTGCCGTTGCAGCGGTCTGGTTTTCTACAGACTTCTTGGTGTTGAGAATCATCTTCTCCTTCCGCTTGACTTTCAACTCCTCGATCAATCGTTTGGCGCCTTTCACCAGACCTTCCTTCTCATCTCCTTCACATGGTCCGCTTCCAGCCCACCTAATCCTACACTCCCCATCAAGTAAGTAAGTATACCCAACCTTACTATTCAGCAATCCAATGGCATCGCGTATTTCATCTGATACTCCTTTGCGAACCAGAAAATACCGTCCCCAATTTCCAGCGCCCATCCTCCTCCTCAAACTCGGCATGAACAACCTGACAAGCATAGCCTTTAGAGCGTTCTCCTCAATATTAATCTGCACCATCTGCGCCAATCCTCCACTACCTTTTACCACCTCGTGCAGTTCCGGATTGTTCTTCTCTGCTGCAAAAGTAGCTGCTTGATTTTCTGCCCACGCGCTGCTAAAAACACTGACTATTGACACTTTATCCTCAAATACTGCTGTCGTATCTTTGGTCAATTTGTCTTTGGCTAAAGTCTGGCCCTGGAGATTCGGGAAGTAGAGAGCTCGTTCGCCTTTAAAGAGTCGTGGAGGTGCGAGGAATGATTTCCCCTTGTGCAGGCGCATGTTGCTCCATTCTCGGAAATATGGTGTTGAGATTTTTTGCGTCCTATATGTCCATCAGTAGAAGCCTTTACCCAGACTCCAGACAGGTAATTCCCCACAGCTGTTTCCGCCTGACAAGATGTTTGTCATAATCCACGAAATCATCTCTCCTCTGCTTCCAGCTCCTGTTGTCCACTCCCGCATTCTCTCCAGCTTGAGGCGGTTTAGGCAGGCCAATGGGTCGGCCTAGAGGCTTTGGGGTGAATTCGGAGACGGCTTTCCCATAGGATCTTGGTGCATCGGCGAGGGGCGATTCTGGAAGGGTAGGAGTTGCTGGAGACGCTGGAGTTCCCTTCTCAGCGAGGCGGCGGTACGAGGTGCTGAAAGTGCGCCATTGACAAAGCAGACATGATTTGGTCTCGAATTTGAACTCCGAGGGCCGCAGGGGTCGTCGCGAAACAATCATCGTGTTGAATGTCGTGACGACTATTGTTGACATTATAATCTAAAATATTGCGAACCTCAGGCGGAATCTATTTCGGCCAAGCTTCCGGAGCCGAGCTTTGGAGAAAGATCCCTGCGGCTCAAGACCCGCGTATAACCGAACTGGCTTACCCCAGATTCCCTTCATGTAGGTATGTAAACTCGTAGCCCCTCAAAAATGTGAGCCACAAAGAATATTCTCCTCTCGAATATTGGAGCTTCGTACCAGGCATCGTTTCAAGGATGCGTCTCCAGCTCTTTTCTAGAATTTCCGGGAGGCAATGGCGTGTTTACAACAGTCTTACAACGTTCCCGAGACACAGCGTACCAACCCGGAACTTCAGTGCTTCTGCCAGAGCACTGGCCATAAAGCCGTTTCTGTTGGCAGATATTGGAGAGGGAATTCGAGAATGTGAGGTTATACAATGGTTTGTTGCGCCAGAAGCTCGAGTTGAGGAGTGGGATAAGTTATGTGAAGTCCAGAGCGACAAAGCTTCTGTTGAGATCACCAGTCGGTTTGCAGGGGTCATCAAGAAGCTGCATTACGAAGCTGGTGACATGGCAAAAGTGGGAAAGCCTCTGGTCGATATCGATATACAAGGCGAGATCAAAGAGGAAGATCTAGAGGCTTTGACGGAACCTGGGACTGGAGAGGAATCTCAGACGCAAACCGAAAAGTCACCCCATACACCAGCCAACGAGTCGAAATCCATTCCAGATGTTTCATCACCGGCAGAGAAAACGAGTCCACCAAAAGGGAAACATGCATCGTTAGCAACTCCTGCTGTTAGACATCTGACTAAAGATTTAGATGTCAAGATTGAAGATGTCAATGGTACAGGTAGAGATGGGCGAGTCCTGAAAGAAGATGTCTATCAGTTTGCAAAGGACAGAGATAGTGCTCCTACTTCTCGTTCAAGCAGTCAACCATCCCCTCCTCCAGCATCGAGTAGCGGTCCTCAAACAGAAACCATAACTCAACTCTCCAATACCCAACATCAAATGTTCAAGACCATGACTAAGTCTCTGAACATACCGCATTTCCTGTATGCAGATGAGATAGACTTCTCTGGCTTATCAGAGCTGCGAGCTAGACTAAACAGGGGCCTGGTGAAATCCCCAGTCAATGAAGTTAGCAAGCTATCCTTCCTCCCCTTCATCATCAAGGCGGTTTCGATGTCTCTCGACCGCTATCCAACACTCAACGCGAGGGTTGACGTTGACCCGAGCTCGTCAAAGCCCGCGCTGGTCATGCGGAGCCAGCACAACATCGGCGTAGCCATGGACACACCCAATGGGCTCATCGTCCCTGTGATCAAGAATGTATCCAGTCTCAATATCATCTCCATTGCCGCAGAGTTGAACCGGCTCCAATCGCTCGCGCAAGCAGGCAAGCTCTCCACCCAAGACCTGAGTGGTGGTACGATTACGGTGTCGAACATTGGCAGCATTGGAGGCACTTATGTCTCGCCAGTCATCGTCGAAAAGGAGGTTGCCATCCTAGGCGTTGGCAAGACGAGGACCATTCCAGCTTTTGATGCGACAGGTCAGCTGGTCCAGAAACAGGTGTGCAATTTCAGTTGGAGCGCAGATCACCGCGTTATTGATGGAGCGACAATGGCCCGCGCTGCAGAGGTGGTTCGCAGCTTCGTCGAGGATCCAGATTCGATGGTCATCCACCTGCGATGAGGTGACTGAGAGGGGGAGTACAGCGTCATGCTGTAAAACATGACCATAAGAGTGCTTTTAAGTCAGCAGGAGTACAGTATGTGCAGGACAGGATGGGACGTGGGATAGAAGCATGATCGATTTGTTGGCAACACGTTAAAGGCTACTGTGTGACATCCTTACCTCAGCCTCATCATGTTGTATGCGCTGTCACCTTACACCAGGCGACAGAATGGAGAAAGTGCGCGGGGTTGGACTACCCCGCAAGAATTGGACTTGAAACCCGGGGTCAAGGTCAGACAAAATAGACAAGTAGATGTCATGGGATGAAAATAGGCAATATGCAAGTAAATTCGTAAAACATCTGTTGCCATGATATTGTACGTGGAAGATCTAAAGTCTCGCCGAATGTCAAAATTCTATTATATTTCTTACCCGGATCTTGGCTCCGATGTCCAGCGACTGCTTGCAGCTCAAAACTCCAGTCCGACGCCTTTTGTTATATCCCTGCGCCGTGATATCGCATGTTGCAATCCGAACCCGAAAAGGCAAATAAGAAAACCAACAATAATACCAAAATTCTTAGACGAAACCAGCAATAGGACGCCGATACGAAAACATGCTCAGCCAGGCAGAAACCTGTTTGTCGTCTGCCCAAATCTCATCAACTCCTTGTCAATACCGGCAATAGACCCTGGATGGCACCCACACACGTATCATTCCCTCTTCCTTTACGAATCCTTCACCAGCTCGGACCTGACCGCTTCTTGAATCCTCGCTAAAGCTTCTTCCTCGACCTGTTCTATCGAGCCACTCACATCCACGCTGATAACATCCGTCTCCTTCTCTCCAGGTGCCTCCAATATGCTAAATTGGCTATGGACCATATTTGCGCCCATGAAGTGGCCAGCTCTGGCACCGACCCGCGCAGCGAGCACTTCTTCCGGCGCATGCAGGTATACGAAGTGAACTCGCGCTCCTTGCGAGTAGAAGCCTGCTACCCGGATGACATCGCGGTATTTGCGCTTCAGGGCCGAGCAGGTGAGGACGACGCCTTGCGAGCCAGAAGAAATTTTGTTCACGGCTTCTTCACGGAGGCGTGTGAGCCAGTCCCAGCGGTCGGCGTCGGTGAGGGGAATTCCTTTCGACATCTTGTCGACGTTTGATTGTGGGTGGAACTACAGGTAATCAGTCAGTTGAAAGTTGGCAAGAGTAGGATGGAGAAGCGTAAAGGATAATAGTAGAAGAAAAAGTAGAAGTAGAAATACCTCGTCGCCTTCAACGAAGGGTAGATTCATGCTCTCGGCCAGGAACTGTGCTACAGTGCTCTTTCCACATCCTGCTGGTCCAGTGATCAGCCAGATGTGATTGTGTTCGGTCTTGGGCTGGTTGGTGTTCTTCGATCGTGTGCCATTGGTAAGAGTATTGCTGGATGGCGAAGAGATGGGTATGTGGTCGGAGGTTGGGGGTGTTTGTTGAGCCATAGCTGGTCGGTTCTCGTATGAAAGCATCGTGAGAGACGTTGGACAGTATCTGGACTTAATAAAGGAGAAATGAAATGACGAGTGAATGACACGCGACAGAGGCAAGCACTCTCAAAATAGGAGTTGGAAGAAAGGCAGAGGAGGAGCGACCAGTCAGTAAGTCAAGTTGAGGTAAGGGGGGTATAGCATTCAATCAATGACTGGAGGGAATTTGAGAAGTCAAGACAGTCAGGCTCGAAACGCTGCAGAGAGTCAAGCAGAAATTGAGGCAAACACTGAAGAGATCACTCACTCACCCACGACGATGGGTCCCTGGGCCTTCTTATGAACGCCGGCTTTGTCCAGCCCAAGGATTATTTCCCAGCGTCAGGCCGGCCATGGTAGCACAGTGCCATTGGAAAGCAAGAAGCCCAGAGCAACGGCGAGGACCATGCGAGCGAACGATGCCCCACACTAACAGCCATGCGTACTAAGCCGAAGAAAGCGTCATTCCCAGATGAAAATTGCCGCTTGTTTCTTTTTTGCCAAATGAGACGGCCGGGGAGGCGGAAAGTCCAGTCTCGTCTCGGGGCAATGAAGAACGGCAAGCAAGAAGTGGTGGTGATGGCATCCGGAAGACGGGAAGCGGAGTGGGGGTATGGTCATCTGGTCAATAGCCGGCAAAGAGCGCGCCTTCAAAAAGGTCGGGTTGTGTGGCTCAATAGCCGGTGTGGCACTTGGGTAACTCGGTCGGGGAACTGGGGGGCAACGAGCAGACGCACGCCGTACCTTCCATTTGGAATCTACCTAGGGGTTTGGGGTTTGATGTGGATTCTGGGACAGTAGGTAATATGCCGGTTGGTTCAAGATGTGAAAGGAAGGGAAAGTGTCGTAGGAATATGGGGCCTCATTGTCTGGGAGAGTTGGAGACGACTGGCATGTACTTTCTCTGTTGCTCTGAGCACTTTACTCTTGTCTTCCATTGTATTGGGCATCGAAGACTTCTGTTGACTTCACGGTACTACATGATGTCAGCAAAGCAGTAGTTAATATTAATCAGGTAGTGGTGATGAAAATTAATTCTCCGCGACAGAAAACGGCAATGGCATTATTCCAACCCCCATCCCATCTAGGTATGCCCCTGTCTTCCATGCCATGCCATGCCCACCCCATCCCACCCCACCATCGCTCAGCCTTCAGGTCAGGTCGGGTCGGGTCTCCTCTCTTTCGAGGCTTCACCTTCCCCTATTTGAAACGGGGGAAAGATATGAAGCTTCCCCGGACCGAGTTTTATTTTCGGGATCTCAACCTTTTCATCCTGTTTCCTATTCGCCCGTTCGCCCACGCTCGACTCCAAATACACCGAAGCAAGCAAGTCACCAAGCGTGGGATAGGTGCATGCATGCATGCATCACGATGGATTGATCGATCGCTTCCCAGTTGGCTTCTGCAGACAGATCCCCTATTCGACGGAATCTGGATTGGGCATACCTAGAGCAAGCGTAAAACTGTGTCACTGCTCCTCCTCTGGAGAACTGCTGCTGCAGCTTGGATCATGCTCTCTCTCGAGTCTCGACCTCATCTCGCCCGAATCCACGACCCCGCCAGTCTTTCCACCTCCCAAAGCCGTGGGACGGTCTGGTCGTTACGTCCCTGTCTCCGATCAAGTCTCGTGGATCGCAGCCAGCCAGGAACCCCTGTACTGGCTTCTGCCCTGCTGCTTTTCAAAGCTTTTCAGGGCCGCCAGTGGGCTGAAAGCGTGGGGGTTGGCTGCATGGCTGCATGGCCGCTTGTGTAAGGTAATGAACGAGTTCCGTGTGGAGAAGTTCAACTTTGTGAAACTTCCGTTCGGGTTGCAGAGCGAAGTCCATCGGCAGGAACACCGGCTTGGATCAATGTATGGTAGAGCTCTCGTAAATGTACCTAGAGAGCTGGACTTGTCTTGCCCAATCTTGCAATTTATATCACACCGCTCCTTCATCAAGGGATGCGCCTGGCATAAGCCAACGAAGATCATGACGGCTGACCGTCCAAACCAACAAGACACACCTATATTCTCTGCCACGTACGGAAGACCAGGGAAGGGCAGTTCTCTGACCGAAGAACTTGGCACCCAAACACGGATCATGTTTCCAGAATCTCTGATAACTATTACTCTCCGGAAACCATATTATCGTCCTTCGGCTCTAGTAGATGTATGGCCTACATGTACTTGAGCAATGTGAGCCTCCGGTGATTAGGAAGTTGGGCCTGCACAAGGCCTGTGCTATGCCGGAAGTGCTTCCGCCTGTGTACAGCTGCAAAGAATGCAGTGCAGCTTCCAGTTGAACATGCAGATAGAGATGCAGTACTACAAAACTCGGTACTCGTATTGAGGGGAAGTGAAGCATTTACCCGGATTTATCCAATTGGTAATTACATCTACTACCATCCTAGAATTTCAAGATCAGGTTATCAGCTTGAATGCACGGCACCTGCTCAAAAATCCATAGTGTTGGGATGGACGGTATGTTCGACGTATCGGGGCTATTGTTCAGAAAGGGGCAGAAGAGAGGGCATTCTGGATTCCCCAGATTGTGGAGAAGGTTTGAGACTAAAGAACCACGAGGAGACCAGGCGTCCTTGATGTGGCTGTGTGGTGGAAAATTTTAAGTCAAAAGCCTATTCGCTACTCCGGATGGGGTAATTTACTCCAGCGGCAGAATTGCCTGATGCGGAGCTATCTCACGAGAAAACTACTCAGTACTTCACGCCAATATTTTATATATAATCATGGTTCTTAATGTTTAACAACGATTTAAGAGCATTGCCAACTCCGAGAAACTCGGGCATGGTGAACTTTATACCTTATGGATCAGTGCCACTCGCAACTCCACATCGGTCACACTGCCTCCCGGCAATGGCCAGAAAAGTATGTCTGCTTGACTCTCACGCAGTCAGATCATCAACCACGAGATCTGCTCTGAAACTGCATGCAAAGCCAAAGTTCCAGTGTCAAAGCCAAAATCAAATACCAGCAACGAGTATCACATATCAATTGTAACTCTAAGACGAGATGACGCAACGCAGGAACAAAAAAATGGTCAAAGCCAAACCGCGCATCACCCCTCATTCATCATATATCACGTGATTAAAGACACGCCATTTTGTGACGACAGCCGTACCTGAAAGCTTCACCCCATCTTTGGTGGTGTTGGCGTAAGATCGAGGGAGCTAGTAAGTGTGGGGTACCGGCAACGGCGATTCAACGTCAATATGAGCTCTCCTCTCAGCTATGCCTTCTCTTTTATTCTTTCCTCGATCACTTTTAAAGGTCACAAAAAGTAATATTGCACGAAGTTTCCTTTGGTTCAATTCTACTAAATACGCCTATTTGCATTTCCCGCTTAGAAATAGAGCTCTACAGCACCAGAACTATCTCACGATGGCGACTACCATGCAGAAAGCGAATCGATTGAAAGTGGCATTTGATGAGGGGAAGGGACCGAGTATGGGATGTTGGTAAGGCTTCTTCTCATAGAAGTTTAGACCTTAGGACTTGATTGAGAAGTTATCTTCTGACATTAGCCGAACCTTCATAGGCAGATGATTCCTGGAAGTAATGTCTCGAGAACCCTTGCGAGCACGGGTGTTGACTGGGTGCTTGTTGATTGTGAGTAAATTTGGGACGATGATTGCTATTGGGTTTTGTGCTGACGTTGTGTACAGGTGAACATGGAAATATGGATGGTATGACTGTGTTTTGTTTTTGTCAAATGCTATGGACTTCCTCTTCTTCGGTTCGACTCATGGATCTTTAAATCCTCATCTTACTTGTCAAGTGCAATGGAGAGAGCATGAGAACCCAAACTATCATTCGAGAACTACTAGGAAAAGACTCGATACATTCCTGGGTTCTTGAGTGGTTTTGTTCAAATCATATTTCTCCCTTGCGCACTTGTCCTGAACTCTGCTTGCCTTAGGTATTGCATGTATTCTGACTTCGTGATCTCTAGATGCCGCCATGCACGAAGCCGTTCCAGCAATCGCAGCCTGTGGAGTAAGTCCAATTGTGCGAATCCCAGACAACCAAGGCTTCATGGTAAAGCGTAAGTCCCTTGTCATATTATTAAAAACCACTCTCATTCCAGAACAGGCGCTCTCGACTCCGGTGCACACGGCATCCTAGTGCCTCTCCTCTACACCGTAGAAGATGCAGAGAAGCTCGTCACCAGCTCCAAATTCCCACCCGTCGGCCAGCGCGGTTTCGGCTCTCCCTTCCCCCACTCTCGCTTCTCATCCTCTCTTACTTCAACAGACTACTTACAGCAATCTAATGATGCTACGCTCGTCATGGTTCAAATCGAGACAAAAGAAGCCCTTCTTGCCGTTGACGCCATCGCCGCAGTGCCTGGTATTGATGTACTATTCATCGGACCTTTCGATCTGGGCAACAATATCGGGCATCCGATCGTGAATGGCGTTATGCATGAGAACTTGCATGAGGCTATCAGGAAGATTCTGGAGGCGGCGAAAAAGGCTGGGAAGAAGGCGGGTATTTTCTGTACTAGTGGAGAGCAGAGTAAAGGCTATGCGGATATGGGGTTTGATATGATTAGTGTGGCGACGGATGTGTTGATTTTGCAGGCGAGTGTTACAGCATCTTTGTATACGGCGAAGGGACTAGGTGCGGCGCCGAAGTTGACGGGCCCTTACGGGAAGTGAGCCCAGTTTTTGATTACTACAGAGTTCTAAAGAGTGGAAGGAAGAACGAGTGATATAGATGACTCGAATTGATGTGCTGCAGAGCATGAATCAAATGCTCCAGTGCAGTATTCGATGTGCCATGAAGTCTCACAATGAAGCTGAAGTCTTGATGGTTCCCTTTTCCAAGTGAGACTGTGCAAGGAGTCTGATCGATGTCAACGCGTTTTGTTGAAGACACACAGAATCTCGCCTACATGAGAAGCGGCCGAAACAACATGAATTGACTCTTTTCTGGGCTGTGGTACACTACTGTACTTTATAAAACCAGTGAAAGGGCACAGTCAAACACACAAATGAGTCTCCATGACATAATTCTGACTATGGCTGACTATGCTTTACATGTAATTTCTTGTCATGGAGAAAGGAGTGTAGCATTGTTCAGCAGCACATATTTGAGAGCAGAAAATCATGATCAAGTCGAGGCGAGAATTTTTTGAAGTACAACGGTGCTTAACAATACATGTGGGTGTAGCATGATGTCATGATAATGCAATACCGCCAGTCGTCTGCTGGATTCTGAAGATATATGTACAAACAGATACTGGCGTAAAGTTTTCGCATCGAATATTAGACCCTCGTACTCTGTTCTATATACGCCCACAGTCGTTAAAGTACATCACTGCTCAAACATACCCAGGTCCAAAGCTGTCCAATTCCCCTGGAAACCCTGCAAATTGATGCTGACCCGCTGATGCTCTCTCAGATTTGAGATCCCCCTCTCTTCAGTCAACGCCACTTCCATCTTTGTTTTCGGCAAAATCCATCTTTGCCTTGATCTCATCTGCCGTAAAGCGGTGCATCAGCTTAAAAGCCTTTGCCGACTGAGCAGGATCTTCCTCCCCCAATTTCGAGCTGCTGATGTGAACCTAACGAAACATCAACAAAGTGTTCTACTATGGCAAAGTCACGACACTCGAAACGTTCTGCTGTAGGTAGTTTAGGGCAGAGCATCACATACCACGGGTGTATCAAACTCATACAGGTCTTTCCATTTCTTCGCCTCTGGCTTCATAACATCGATTTCCGTGTAATGAAAGGGCCGCACGTCCCAGACATTGGAGAGGGTCTGCTTTGCGTTCGTGCAGAGTGAGCAGTTCATGCGGGTAAAGAGTGTGATACGGCAGGCATGTTGGAGCTGTCGAAATGAGGGGCGCATTGGATAGAAGTTAAATCCAAGCTCTAATGGAATTCTAATGTTCTTCGATGTTTATGTGATATGCAAGAGAGCCAATTGGAACGAGACCAAGTCAATGCCCTTGAAAGCTGTTTCTACAGTAGCGGTGGTCGGTGTGTAGCCGAGAACCCCTGTCAACCTTCACTTATCGATTTGGTAGTTCTATCAAATTCGGCTTCCAAGTTCATCCCACCTCGATAATATCGATAGACAAGTGGTACGCTTTAAGTTTTTGAAATTATATGTAAACTTCTCAAAGAAGCTCTTATTAGACTCAGCTACAGCTTAATTTAGCGTAAAACTGCGTTTACTGGTGGTGTATAACCTGTTTTGACCAATGCCAAATTACTGAGCAGGTATTTCCGCCAGCTACTCCATTCCTTCCATGAGTTCCACCCGATCTAACATCATCGATTTCCTGCCAATCCATTCTCGTAAAGCGTCCCAATCTTCACCCTCTTCTTCACCTCGCCTCCAGACCTCCCGAAACCCCCAAGCTCCCGCAACTTTATCGATCGCAGACCGCTCCTCTTCCCGTATCCATCGCTGTCTTAGTGGCACTCCTTGAGCCCACGTTACGCGATCCATTTGGTCATTCGCGGTCGTAACCGCAACGACTCCGACAGTAGCAGTGAAGCCAACATACGCTAATATTCCAGCAAATGCGACATTGGTCGCCATGGCCGTGTCCATCGTCGTCTGGAGAACAGCAAGTTGTGAAGCAACTGTATATGCTGCAATAGGAGCTACAGCAAGACCTGTAGCTGGCAGAAGGGCCTTCCGGATGAACTTGGCACGATGTGCTGCTTTCGTTGTGTACGAGGTCTCGATAATCTCCATAGCCACGACCAATTGTTTCGCATCAATAGCCGCCTTTAATGCTTGATCTGCAACTTGAAGCGGAATCGCATTTGCCGACTTGTTTGGATTTGGCTTGGAGTAAGTGATTGGGTCTGAACCTTCTTTTGGGAATGGTTTATTTGCGTACAGTCGGAAGACCTCCGGGAAAGTTTCTGGTTTACCTAGAGTAGACTGAATTGCAACATAGAGGCTCAGAACTTCGGGCGAAATGAAGACCGGGGGGAATTTGACGATGGAATATGCAAGACTTGATAATTGGTCCACTATTCGCTGCACTTTGAGAGGAAGTTTGGGAACTGGAATCTTCTTTGCGCTGGCCTCATCTAGAGAGAGAAGGGCTGAAGCAGCACCATTCTTCTTGTTCGAATTTTGCTGGTCTTGGACGAGTAAGTCGGCCGTGGCTTTGCATCCGTCCAACACAATAAGCGTCTCATTTTCTGACGGTATGCTCTTCTGCATGAGCAATGTGTTGCAGGTCACCCTCACAGATTGCAGCCTCTTCTCCAACTGTGCTTCTGTAATATCGCCAGTATTCCCCGTTGATGCTGGCGAGACTTTGGCAGCAGTCGGCTTTGGTTGAGGATTCTGCGAATTCTGGAGGAGCGCTCGACTTGTTGAAAAGGCGCGGGCAGATGGTGTACTTTTTCGAAGTAACTGGCGAAGCAATGGCGATGGACGTGATTGGCGGCCGGTTATGAATTCGCATAGATGGCATACATCTGCTCGTGGGCGGAGAGCACGTCTAGACATGATTGATGGAGGTTCAAGTGCTGGATTTGGCTCAATCCCTCGCTCTCTTGCTTCCGGTGCTTGACCTTGAAGTTGAAGTTGAAGCTCGAGGCTGTTCCTCTCAGTAATCCATATGGTCCGCGCAACCTAAGGTATGCATGTCCCTAATCCCTGCCAACACACAACGACCCCTGGCCTGCATTTGCTTACATAAACTGCATTTGGCCCACCCTGCGCCTCGATGTGACGACGATCCAGCCGCTGGGGGCTCAGGCTGGCCCTGGATATTGAACATATCAAAAGACCTTCTCCCGAACTCTACTGCCTAACATCCGCAACTGCAACTCGTAATCACCTTTCCCCATGATTGTGTTGTGGTGACTGGATCCGCCTAAAAATACCCATCTCCTCGCTCGACGTACTCTTTCATGTCTTCATAAAGCGGAACACTTTATTTCCGGGCTTCTTGCAAACAGCACTCAGCAGATATGCCTCCTCCACCAGTAAGCCAGAACCTAAACCTAAGAGATTCAGAGAGTTCGAATGCTAAAATGTCCAATAGCCTCCCCCGCCGCCTCCTCGTAGGTCCAGCTTCCAGGTCAGATACAGCATCCACTAACAATGTTTCTACAGCTATGGGCGGAGGACCTCCACCACCGTATGTCTGCAGCTTCTACGATTAACATTTTGATGGAGATTCAGTGACTAAATTGCTTCTCAGTCCTCCCCCACCAGGAAATCTACCTTCGAGGCCTCCACCAGGGAACAGGGTGAAGCCCCCACCAGTCGTAGCAATGCCCAATTCCCTCCATGGGCTTTCAACGAGTCACTGCAACATGCTAACCTATGGGTAGGGAGCTTTGCTTTCAGATATTACGAAAGGGAAGCAACTTAAAAAGGCCGTTACAAATGATCGATCTGCACCGATAGTTGGGAAGGTATCTGGGGGAGGGTCTGGACCATCTCCATTGTCAGGAGCGCCGCCTGTACCGGGAATGTTGAAACCACCTGGAGGAGGGAATAGAGCACGAAGTAACAGTGACCAGAGCAGTCGCGAATCGAGTGGGTCAGCTGGAATGGAGCAACCACCACAACTTGGAGGGCTGTTCGCAGGTGGCATGCCCAAGTTGAAGAAACGAGGTGGAGGGGTCGACACAGGAGGTATGGAGTACACGTCTGTACCTTGATACTCCCGTACTTACTATGTCCTAGCAAACCGCGATTCATCTTACACATCAGATCCGGAATCATCACGAAGTTCTGCTCCAAAGCCACCTACAATGTCAGCTCCCCGGCCTCCAACTTCGGCGCCTCCACTCCCTGGAAGTCAAAATGGAGCTGCGCGACCTCTGGCTTTTACCCCCTCTATTGCAAACCTCCGGAAAACAGGTTCATCTGGGGCGCCGAGACCCAATTCATCAGCATCGATGCGCGGCCCACCTCCCCCAATTGGAAAGAAACCTCCAATTCCACCGCCCGCATCACGAAAGCCTTCAAGTCTTCAGCAGCCTCCTTCAGCAGCACCCCCTCCACCTTCGGCAGCTCCTCCTCCGCCATCAGCAGCTGCTCCTCGACCACCTCCTCCACCCTCTTCAAATGCTCCTCCACCACCACCTCTACCAACCTCGAGCGCACCACCACCTCCTCCTTTACCATCTTCAACTGCGCCCCCTCCTCCGCCTCTGCCACAGGCGAGCGCTCCGAGACCACCGATGAATGGGCCAAGTCGATCACAACCTCCACCGCCGCCTATTTCACCACCTTCTACCAACGGAGCCAACCAAAGTCTTGCCATGCAGGCAGCAATTCGTGCTGCCGGACAGGTAATATATTTCCATATCCTTTTGTTCTATTTATAGACATATATATATATATATATATATATGTGGGGAGTTGCGCTCTCAGCTACACAATTACCATCTCAGGTCGAAAGATGCATTTGGGAGTCCTTGCTAACCGATATTTGAAGGCTTCCCCAGCAGCCGCTCCGCCTCCGCCCCCACCTCCATCAAATGGACCATCTCCAAATAGCTCATATCATTCGCCTTCGCCGTCTTCATCCGCACCACCTCCTCCAAGCTCAGCACCACATCCTCCAAGCTCGAGACCAGCTCCACAACCAATGAGACCAGTGGATCCAAGCTCCTATACCCTATCTTCAAATGGAGGGCTGCCAAAGAATCCTAGCCCTCATCGAAATTCGGAGCCCACTAGACGTATATTTATCAACGATCCAAGGTGGAAATTTCAGGATGAAAACATGCTACCTAAACCAAGAGACTTCGTTGGAGGACCAAAGAGGTACCGTGCTGGACGTGGTAGTAGTGTGCCCCTTGATCTGAGCAATTTTAGTTGAGGAAATGAAATGTGGAAAGTTTCATAGGTGCTACTTTGAGAGACCTTAAAAGTGTGACCAGTTGCTTTGAAGGGTATGGCGGCATCAGTCCTGAACGGGATGAAATGGAGCCAAGGGATGTATAGCTGAGATAGGCTGTTTGAACGATATTCAAACGAGCCGAGGCTTCAAAAGCACAGCATTCGCACTGTGGACCCCGGCTAGGAATCAGGTTAAGAGCGTGCATATTGAAGGGAGGAAGTCTGTAACTGACGTTACGACGAATCCATCTCTTAAAAATGATTGTTTAGGGTCGTAATCCTATGATGCTCTGAGTGAAACCATATTTCAGACTTGCAGCAACCGCAAAGCTTCCCGTCGTTCATGTACATCACTTCCATCACAGATGCCTTGTTAGCTTGAAGTCAGGGATGCCTCATTTGAATTCAACGAAAGTAATTCACCCATGGAACTAGTCCTGCCTCCGTAGTGCACTCAGTAAATTATATTATTATACCAGCAGCCCCAATCTCACTCGCATTCTCACCATGACCAGCCTTGCCTGGATCCGGTATTAATAGGACTCACGGTCCTCGACAAAGAAAGCTTGGCGTTGCGGCATTGTTCTCCAGCGTGTGCCACAGCGCAAGCCCGCAGCTCAAGAAGAGGCCAGTTTGCTCTCGGCAATACCTCAGAGCTTAACTTTAAACGACCTTCCACCACCGCCTCGCATCTCCACCTCGACCTCAACTCTTCTCTCTTCAACCAAGCCAAGCTAATAATCTATTCCCCCGCGACTGGATCTTAAATCCGATTGACTAGGTGCACTTCCAGCCGGACTGCGACAATGGCACAAATTCGAGGAACTGCGGGCTATAACCTGGGCGGAGGACAGAACACATTTGGAGGACCAAGCAGAGGGGATACCATGAATGACCCAAGTCCTCTTGATGCAATTCGGGAGCAGACTGGCAAGATTGAGGATTTCTTGGACACGTTGAGCGATCCTATAAAGCCGTACGTTTCTCCTCAGATGCTCACAAGACCCCGCCATGAAAGCTTCTTTAGGGCATATGTGGCATTGCACTTCTTGCTTCCCATTTGCGGCGCGACTTATGCTAATGTTTGTATGTTGCAGATATCTGCCAGCGATTGGGCGATTCCTAATTGTAGTTACGTTCTTGGAGGACGGGCTCCGAATTATCACACAATGGTCCGACCAATTGCTGTACCTACACGACTACAGACACAGTATGTTAAGACTACATGTTCGTTAGGCTAGACTAACGATTGTGCTCAATAGTCCCATACGGACTTAACCACCTGTTCCTTCTGGTCAATGTCATCGCCATGGTTTCTTGTTCATCACTAGTTATTGCCCGCAAGTACTCTGACTACGCTGTTGGAGGTCTGATTGGAGTTGTCATCACACAAGCCCTTGGATACGGACTCATTTTCGACCTTAACTTCTTCCTACGCAATCTCTCCGTCATGGGAGGTCTCTTGATGGTCCTCTCCGACTCCTGGGTGCGCAAATCCAAGGCATTCGCGGGTCTCCCAGAAATCGACGAGAAGGATCGCAAGATGTACTTCCAACTTGCTGGTCGAGTTCTCTTGATTTTCCTCTTCGTTGGATTCGTGTTCAGTGGAACCTGGAGCATCTGGAGGGTCATTGTTGCCCTTTTGGGCTTCGTGGCTTGCGTTATGGTTGTTGTTGGATTCAAGGCCAAGTTCAGCGCTATCATGCTTGTTGTCATCCTCAGTGTCTTCAACCTCTTGGTCAACAACTTCTGGACTGTAAGATTTGTCACTCCTTGTTTTTTTTCATCTGCTGACTGATTGTTTCCCAGCTTCATGAGCACCACCCTCACAAGGATTTCGCCAAGTACGATTTCTTCCAAATCCTCTCAATCGTCGGAGGTCTCCTTCTCCTTGTCAACAGCGGACCCGGCAAATACAGCATCGACGAGAAGAAGAAGGTGTACTAGATGTTCAGGAATATTCTGGAGAGGAAGCTATTGGTGGGGAGAGGGGCTTAGAAGGCTTCAGGAAATATGAAAATTGGGAGTTGCCCTGCATTGGGAGGAGTTCATATTGGCAAAGGATTAAAGTTTCGTGATTTTTAACTTACGCAGGAAAGACTTCAGAGGATAGGCGACTTCCTTATGAGCATAGCAGTCGTCTCTCCGAATGTAAATGTGAAAAGAGAATGCTTATGCTTTGGAACGATGTCGTACGGGTCTATGTTCCTCTAAGCGTACAGATGACATTCAAAAAGCTTCGATAAAAGGATATCCAAGTCTGCGAAATATCTCCTTTCACCCTATCATTTGATCATAAATGCTGTCGTCCAGGACCGTTACCACCTCGTTCATTTCACACCCGTCATGATAGTAGGAGACAACACAAAAAGAAAGCTATGCACGAGAACCTCGAAACCTGGACAAAGCCACTTGGCTAGCCAACGAATGAGGGGCAGACATAGCCAAGCCGAAGCTGTGGAAGCTGATCCCCGTAAGCGGGAAGGGAATATCCAGTGCACCACTAACCAGCCACTTTTAACGTTGAGCATGCGTGACTTGCATGTAACAAATTGTGAAAAAGCTTTGGTTCATGCTGGGATGACTTAATTTATTCCTTGATATGTACTCTGGCTTTGACTTTCACATATTATCCATTTACTGCTCCAGTCAACCTTCATACCTTGTGCCCATAAAAGGGCGGTTTGATATGCTTCACCAAGCATATTCATAACACCACACTCCTTAAAGCCCCTCAAACCATGGCCGAAATTGCGGCTACCGTGGTAGGTATTGCTGGAGTAGCCGGCGTCCTTGGGCAAATCTTCGATGGCTGCATCAAAGCGTACGCCATCTTCACCTCAGCCAGCAATCTCGGCCGGGATAGCGAACGCCTCGTGTGCAAGATCCGCATCGAGGAGATGCGATTGCTGGTCTGGGGTCGAGAATGGGGTGTCATTGAAGGAAAGCTGGAGGCGCATCTCCAGAAGGAGAGTGAGATGGGGAATGGGCGGCTGAGGGGGCTGGCGTTGGAGATCCTGACGGAGTTGCACAGGACAATTACGGATTTTAGGAAGTTGAAGGAGAGGTATGGAATGAGGGAGGAAAGGGTGGAGGGAAGCGAGATGGGGAAGATTGGGGGAAGTGGGAATGTCGCTGGGCGGTTGAGGAATGAATTACAGCTGAGGGCGAAGTGGGTTATTGCTGACAAGGAGAAGGTGCGTGTATCCATATTTCTTCAGCTTGTCTTTCTATTCCTGTTTTTTAAGATTTCTCCAGTCTTAAGAGAAAAGTTCGTAGGCGCGAGTCTTTCAGATACAAACCACTCCTGTAGATGCGGAAGCGTCACCTTGTGAAATAATCATAAAAAAAGAAAAGCTAACTGGGACAAGTTCACTGTGCTTTTACAAGACTTGAAAGATTACAACGATGGACTGGAACAGCTGTTCCCTCCAGGACGACTGGCAACGCTTCATCGTACTTGGACTAATGAGTTACTCCAAAGTGCTCACAGGGATCTGGGAAAGTTGAAAACATTAGAGATGGCTGCCAGTACGACGTATCCTCAATTGAACGTCTCCGCTAGCTTGAAGCAATTACGAATCAACCTGGACGCCACGCCAACAGCAAAGTTTAAACAAACGTACGCTCTCAAGATACAGAGGACGAATCTCTCCATCAATACGTCTTCAGACGGTGATCTGAGCCGATGTCATGGGTCGTACCAAAATCCGGCTGGAACTGGTCCGGAAGATGTCATTGTGGAATGGATTCAATATGACAAGGACGACATCGATTCTCGCCTAAATCATGTCCGGAGAATCGATGATCTTGCTAAGATGATACACAGTTCTTCAGATAGACACCCAGATCTAAGCACACTCGACTGTCTTGGATATACCGACGATAGCTCAAGCAGTCGATACGGACTTGTATATAAAGCGACACAAGCCTCGTCCTCAAACCTCAACGTCCTCATACAGAGTAATGACATGAGAACTCCCGACCTTGGCGACCGATTCAAGCTGGCTCATACTCTGGCGGTTGCCCTTTGGTCTTTCCATTCACTCGACTGGCTTCACAAAAATCTTTGCAGTTCCAATATCTTGTTCTTCCCCTCTGCCTTCTCAGCATCAGCTAAGCAAGCTACTGCAATGTCCGCTACTATCCCAGACATCTCATCTCCATTCGTGCTAGGCTTTGATGCTTCAAGGCCCGACGGAGTAGACGAGATGTCGGTAGCATCCAGAAACTCGGGTCTGGCTGACCTCCATCGACATCCGCATTCCCTGAATGGAATGTCGAAAAAGTCATACTGCAAGAGTTTCGATATATATAGCCTGGGGCTGATTCTGCTTGAAATCGGGTTATGGAAAGTCTTACAAGCTTACTACAAGCCCCATCACTCGGCAGAAAGATTTCGGGACAAGGTTGTTATCCAGAATTTGGTGCCGAATTTGAACAGCAAGACCGGCAGGTTGTATCGAGAGGTTGTAGAACGCTGTCTCTTTGCTAAGGATGATCTCAGCGACCAGGAAGCTGGGCAGTTGATGGAATTTGTTGTTGGTAGTTTAGAAGCCTTGCGAGTTTGAAAGAATCTTGAACAACCACTGGTCTCTCTGAGATATGCTCGGTCTCGAAACTTGACCATGAAACATTGTTCAAGCAATGACGAGTTGATCGATTGCGAATTTCGCGACCTTGAGCACTTCCAAGCAGGTATGAACCCTTTCACCAGGGCAGAGCTTTCCTTGAAGAGCGTCGGCAGCCATCAGGCCATGCCTGTGATGCGCCTCCAACATTTCGTGGCGAGTCTTTTGACGAAACTCCATCTCTGACACCAGATCTCTCAGTCCCTTGTGCTTGAAACCGGGTTGCTCGTGACCATAGATGTCAATACGTAGCATAGCTCGAACTGTGGTACGCCACTGTTGAGGAGGCATTTCTACCGCTTCGAAGAGCATCGTCTTCTCGAAGCAGGTAAAAGCGTCCGCAAGGTTAGTCGTTTTCCCACACATACCTCCGTAGTCATTAAACTTGAAAGTCTTCGTCTGGCCAGATACCGTGGCTATTTCCGTTTCTCTGTCAACCATATCCAATAGCTTTTGATATCCGTTGGCTATGATAGGTAAAATTGTTCCCAAAAGCATGGTATTTTGAAATGCATCCATTGGAGGATTGGGATTGTCTAAAGCCACAGATCCGCACTTAGGACACCAAATACTCTCGGACGCAGTTCTTGCAGCACTACGCACAGCCAGTAAAGCAGGTATGATTTCAGTGGGAAGCTGCTGTAAAGCTGCCAGAGAAAGATACATCGATGCAAGACAACTGCACGGCCCAGCCAGATTTATTGAGCTATCACTGTCTGTCACTGATGCACTCGAGTTGGCTGAGAGCCCTGGTAGCGAGTGGGTGGTTGGGATATAGTCGTTGGTAGGATCCAGGCCAAGATCTCCAAAGTTGATGGGAGGTCCTGCAGCACTCCCAGCGAAACTCCAAATAGCACGTCCATCCTCAGGCGTGGTGTCTGATGAGTTGACAGCACCTGAGTCTTGATCAAGAGAAGGCAGTCCACTGGTAAAGTACGGTTCAGCCTCAGTATCAATGTATCCAGAATCGAAGTGTATTCCAACGTCAAAGGGGTCGGCATTTGGGTTGGGTTCAGTCTGTTGTTCTTCTACGTGCTGCCTTTTCCTGGGTCGACCCATAGGCTTTTGCTCCGAGTAGTTGCATATCATGTTCTCTCTCTTGCAGCGCTCACATCCATCAGGGTCTTTGGAGCATGCTAGCTTTCGTCCTCCTATAGCACTGTCAGTAAGTCACTGAGCGTGTTTGGCAGGCTCCATACGGCACTCATCGCAAGCACGACGCTTGACGGTACCGTCAGTCGCAGAAGGCATTGCGATGGTAGAATCCAATATATCGGGATAAAGAATTTATAGAGGTTATGAAGCTGACGTATACTGGCATGGGATTGTTGCTGAGAAAGTCATCAAAGTCGATAAAGGCGACAAACTTGGAAGCACCCGTTGACCACGAGGCCAGCGGGCTCAGCCAGTAAGGCTGCGGGGCTGTGGGGCGCGCTAAGATACAGCTCCTAGGTAGGGAGCGATAAAGAAAAAAAGTCAAGAGACGAGCAAAGTAAAATCGGCTTCACGCTGAATTCAAAGCTTCGTTTCGCAACATTCCTCATCATGTCGCCGCCAACGACAAGGGACAGAAAGCGCAAAGCGGCAACTCGCGATGTTCCTGAGCATTCAGATGTGGAGTCGGAAGCCGAATTTGGAGATGGACTGCTAGAAGGCATCTTGTCGCAAAGCGAAGACTCGGAAGGCGACAGTGAGGACGAAGGAGACAGCGAGGACGAAGAGGAGGTAGATGAGGATGAATTGGAGGCCCTAGATAGCGATGAAATACCGTCAGAAGATGACGACGATGGTGCGAACGGAGTTCTAGTGAAAAGCAACGGCACAGCACAAGACGCGATCAGCAGTCGAGCGATACTTGAGGAAGAAGACGACGACAAGCCCAATTATACGGTCACAACGGACGCCAATGGAGGAGAACGATACATCTACAAAGAGATAGATCCTGTCTATGATTCGGACGATTCTGATGCAGCAGATGCTACCAACACGATTGGAAATATTCCGTTAACATTTTACGATTCGTACCCACACATTGGATATGATATCAATGGCAAGAAAATTATGCGGCCCGCCAAGGGAGAGGCACTGGATGCATTACTGGACAGTATAGATGTGCCTAAAGGCTGGACCGGAATGACCGATCCTGCAACTGGAAAGCCTCTGAACCTAAGCCAGGATGAATTGGAAATTCTCCGAAGAATTCAGACAAACGAGATGCCAGAAGATGGATATGATCCATATCCTGTAAGTGTACTGTGATAATTTTTACGTTACCTGTTGCTAATTTATAAGGCTACTGTCGAGTACTTCACTGGTATCGAGGAGATCATGCCTCTGAGTTCGGCACCAGAGCCAAAACGGCGCTTCTTACCATCCAAGCATGAAGCCAAGAGAATCATGAAAATTGTTCGAGCCATTCGTGAAGGAAGGATTCTACCATATAGGCCACCCGAAGAGAAAGAAGAGGAAGAGGAAGAGGTACATTACGATATTTGGCAGGATGAACAAGCACGGCCTGACCATGTTATGAACATTCCTGCACCAAAAGCGCCTCCGCCAGGTTATGATCTGAGTTACAATCCACCTCCGGAATATCTCCCTTCGAAGTCAGAGAAGAAAGAGTGGGAGTCAACTGATCCAGAAGATAGAGAGAAGGAATACTTGCCTACAGGCTACGATTCATTACGGAAAGTACCAGGGTATGAGAAGTTTATCAAGGAACGATTTGAACGCTCATTGGACTTGTACTTGGCACCTCGCGTTCGCAAGAATCGACTCAACATTGATCCAGCATCGCTGCTACCGAAGCTACCAAGGCCCGAGGAGCTTAAGCCTTTCCCTACTGTGTGCTCCACACTGTTCCGGGGTCACGACGGCAGAGTACGCAGCTTGGCTATTGACCCATCTGGAATTTGGCTTGCAAGTGGTGGTGACGATGGCACAGTCCGTGTTTGGGAACTTTTGACAGGACGACAGCTTTGGAGCGCCAAGATTGGTGACGACGAAGCAGTAAATGTTGTAAGATGGAGACCTGGGAAGGATGCAGTTATACTTTCAGCAGCTGCTGGTGAAGACATCTATCTTCTCGTTCCACCGATCGTGGATCCACAAACAGAAGCCGCCAGCCGTGAACTGCTTGATGCAGGATTCGGGTATGCCACGAACGCGACTCAAGCACTCACCGCAAATGGCGCCCGGAAAGAACCTGTAGCGAAGTGGACTCGACCGGGATCGCGTCTTGAGGACGAAGGAGTTCTCATCAAGATTACCGTTCGCACAACAGTAAAAGTTATTAGCTGGCACCGTAGGGGGGATTTCTTTTCAACCGTATCTCCAACAGCTCAGAAGAGTGCTGTTGCCATCCATACACTCTCGAAGCACCTTACTCAAATACCCTTCCGCCGACTTCCTGGGATTCCACAGACGGTCCAATTCCACCCTTCGAGACCACTATTCTTCGTTGCAACGCAGCGTACAATCCGCAGTTATGATCTTCAAAAGCAGGAGCTTGTTAAGATCATTCAACCTGGTGCTAGATGGATCTCGTCCTTCGATATCCATCCTGGCGGCGACAATCTCATTGTTGGTTCATATGATAGACGACTTCTGTGGCACGATCTGGACCTGTCGACTCGGCCGTATAAGACCATGAGATTCCACACTAAAGCTATTCGCGCAGTCAAGTATCACAAAGGAGGCTTCCCATTGTTCGCCGATGCCAGTGATGACGGTAGCTTACAGATTTTCCATGGCAAGGTTGTCAGTGACATGATGGAGAACGCAACTATCGTACCAGTGAAGGTTCTCAAGGGACACAAGGTCAAGAGTGCGCTGGGCGTTATGGATATCGATTGGCATCCAAGGGAACCATGGTGTGTAAGTGCTGGCGCTGATGGTACTTGCCGCTTATGGATGTGAGATTTGTTCACTTTGCATGTTAACATAGCATTGGCGTCTGGGATTGTGTCAGATAATTCAAAAGTCTTAAACCGTCCATTTAGTGTTGCCGTTATGCTGGCGATCTTGTAGTGGAAGCCGTACCAAGTTGTAAGCTGCCCCACCAGACCTGGTAGTACAGATCAACGTGGTGCAATATTGCTCACTGGCCTTGTCCGATCTCTCCTATTCGGTGACCGGTATCGCTTTTTGATTTGCTCACGATGATTGAATGCAGCTGGGGTGCATGTGGAGCGGGGTAGGTACGAAGCACCTCGCATGTTCCATTTCTCACTCGAAGAAGTGGTGGTCCTACATTCCTTATCTGATGGAACACTGCACTAACTTGCCTTGTGATTTACTACACCTAAGATTTGATCGAAACCGGTTACCTGCTGGAAAATCTTCTCAGAGCAAATCAACTAGGTCAATTCCACATCACTGAGCCATAAAGATCAGGATGTCGAACTTCCCAAAGCTCATCCCAGCTTTCACAGCTAACGTGAGTGGCTATTGACCCACCTAATCTAAGCCTGTACTCAGTTCCGCATCTCAAGTCTCAGTCACAAAGTCAACTCAAGACACTGTGCCTTTATGATAATCACAATCACTGACCATTGACCTTCTAGATTGTCATCGATGCTCCAGTCACAGTTGGCGCGGTCTCGAAAGGAGCTCCACTCTTCGTCGTTCCGTTCCTCACCGAGAACACCAATAACTTCTTGAAGTCGGAACCCGAATACCCAATTCAGGTTGATGCAGTTTTCGTGCATGGGAATGATTTTGTATGTATTCTTCCTAGATGAATTTGAAAAGTTCTAGTCCATTTCCCGATTTGCAAACCGTCCAATACTGTTTAGAAGGTGAATGACGAAGTGACAGCACGCTGATCTGAAAATGTAGATCCGTCAGGACCCTTCCGGCCAACATGTTCGATTGGATGTAAACTCCGTCATGAAAGATAAGAGCGGAGCTTTTATCAGCTACAAATACAGTGGAATCATCAATGTGACGCCTGGTGTTGGTGCAGTTCTCACTGGAGATGCTTCTGCGAAAACCACACCGTTTGGAGATGCTTGTGAGTGAAGAAAAAGAATTATTACTGCTCACATCATTGCAGACTTACTGATGGTATTTTCAGTCACCCATGTTCTCTTTGAAACAGGAAGTGAAGCGTTGAAAGATATCGAGAAGAAGATTTATGTTGCGAGTGGCCGGTTTGTTCTCCAGGAGGGAAAGCCCGTCACGGTCGAGTATAATATCAGCGAGGTTGCTGTCTGAAGCCTGAATGAAAGCAAAGAAGGCAGGCCTTGGGAACATTCGCACGTCAATGGGATCTTTCGTTTACTCGCCAGTCTTTCTATATCACTATGAGGATCAACAATTGCAAATGAAGTTGCTTTGCTTCCTGAAAATCAGAAACGCCACCCTGAGGAACCCTCGCTGGATTTATGCCATCAATTTCCATAATTCATATGCATGGAGACAAAACCATGCTGTCTTCCGTAAAACCAGAAATCAAAACGATTACCTGTGGTAGATGAGATCTTCTTGTATCCCAGCACCACTTGTAGCAAATATGCATGAGCCATGAAATTCAAGGGTTTTCTCCCCAATTCAATTGACACCAGACAACGCAAGTAACCGCTCTCCAGCTTTGAGATTAGCACAGGCGTAGGCCTTAGATTCCTTGGGGAAGGTTCCATTGGCTGCCCACAAATCGATCAAGGGTTGCATTGGCTCCAGCTCGTGAGGCTTCAGCATCTCGATCTCGGTAGCGGTGAGAACAAAATGACTGAAACAACTGTTCATGGGTTTCTCCAAGCCAAGATGATAGAATGGATCGATGAAGTGAGCCCAGTAGAGATGTGAGTAGACCCGGAACATTTGACGGAAGATGGTTTGGCAGACATCGACGAACTCGACTGGGAATCCACTGCTCTTCCCGATCCAGTCACCCGGGCCAGCAAGTTGTGAAAGGGATGAGTTGAGGCTTGTTGGACCGGCTGGGATTGGGGTATTGGATCCTGGGGTGTTAAGCCCACCTGATGCATAGGTTGCCGAGGCAATATCTGGGCCACCAGTGTTGTGTGCGAAGGAAACGCCAGCGGGATCAGTTGGGAAGATGGCGGTGTTGTCAATCTTTCCGGAAATCCATCTTTGCATCAGAGAGATGTACTCATGGGCGGGGACTTCAACTGGCTCTTTTCGAGAGTTTAACCAGGTAAATGAATGGTTTCTAGAGAAGGTTAGATTTGGATATTAAAAGGACAAGAAGAAACTTACGCTCCAGCTGACATGCGAGGGCAGGTCTGGGAATTACATATCGAGGTTCCATCTTCATCCTTGTCGTGGATAACACGCACAAAGTTCCAAAGATTACGGTAATGTTCAACGACTAGTCCCGTGTTAGTTTAGTTAAATATAAACGTGACTTAGTCAACGTGCCTTGGTGAGCAATCCATTCGCCTTGCTCCACTGTCTTGGGTCGAGCTGACAAAGTCATGAAATTGCCTTTGACAATATGCTTGGCATACGAATCGTTCAGCCATAGTGGCTTTGGCCGTGGAAGGTTGTAGCAGGAGAGGGCATCACCAGTAGGAAGACTGCTTGAAGAATCGTTCATGGATAGAGTCTGAGACAGGGAAGGAGAGTTGGGTAGTGGCGGGACTCTTGGTGCAAGATTGGTTGATGATGAGCTGCTCTGTGAGGTGCCTGTAGGTGATGTTGGCTGTGCTCCAGGTCCAGGGCTTTTGGTGCCGCCATTCTTACCGCCACCTCTGAAGCGACCGCTACTGTAAAGTGAGAACTATTAGCAAAGAAGTCTCATCAGAAGCCAAAAAAACGTGATTAAAACATGACAAGGAACAATATGACAATTTCTGCCAACAGTTGGAACTTCGATGGACCAAAGCATAGGCAAACAGAACAAGGTTTAAGCTAGACGAAGAAAGATCTGAACATGAGAGAGAGAGCAATCGTTCTAAGACTGTCTCAGCTCCTATTGATATTGTGAAGGCATCCAACCCTAATGCTCGATCTCCTGTTGGATAGACAATCCGTCACCCACTGGGTGAATGAAGCCACAAAAAGATAGACAGCTGTAGATTTCTTCAAAATTGCTCAAATTCCAGAAAATTCAAAATCAACAGGAACAAATGCCTAATCTCTTTCCAGGCGTATAACCAACAAGAAACGGCACCAACAGAAGTGCAAATGGGTACCTACATTCCAGTCAAGAAGTTGGACATAGTGACAGATCAGCTACAGAATTCAAGACAGACTTGAGTTGGCACAAAAGGCTTCGAATATGAACGGAGCTCGAGTGGTGCTGACAGGTGACGGGAGCCGCACTCAATATTGATCAAATAAGCCAGAGGATGTTGTAAATAGGAGGTTGCGCCTGAACCAGAAACGAAGCTAGTCAGAAGCGGTACTAGCGGTGAAGGTTGGTTAAGGAGCTGGCTCGCTCTCGCTGGTGCTGTTACTGTTACACCCCTGCTCAAAAGAGAGATGTACCTTACCCACCTCTAGTACGAACCATCGCAACTTTCAAACCTCTCCACAATAGCAATCTGCGATCTGCGATTTGCAATTCACGCTCTTTGGTCCTCTGGCTGTCAGCACACGCCCACAGGTTTGTTCACATTTGTCGTGAGTCAAAATCATCACTAACAAATCTTTTCTGCAGCGTCAACAGCCAGCTACCCTTTTCTGCCAACGGGAAATCCCTTTGCCCTCACGGGACTCCACAACCTCTTTCAACTACGATGGCTTCTGAATCAGAGGATGATATTATGGACGCCGGTGTGGATGATGGCGATGACGATCTGTTCGGTGACGATGATGACGCGCCAGCAGATAAGGTACGAGAACTGAGCGATCGCGAGCTTGACTCTGGAGACGACGAGGACCGCAGAGATAGGGCGCCACGAGAGGACGAGGATGTGGACATCAATGATAGCAGAGAAGCACGCATAATGGAAACCACCTTGTGGAGACATCCAGTGCCTACACCTGCTGATGGGGAGGTAAGAGCGCTACATCGTAGCGGAGAAACTCCATTGACAGTTTTCAGTTGAATGTCTTGCGAATGCCATCGTTCATGGGAATTGACCCACGCGCCTTCAACCCTGATACATTCCAGCCTCCCGTCTTTGATCATCATGCGGAAACCAGATCTTCCAACTTCCTCGCAAGTGCGGTGTCAGCTTCCACGATACGATACCGCACTAACCCAGCGACGGGAAAGCTGGAGAGCAATGCCAACCTGTACAAATGGAGTGATGGAACTACGACTATCTCAATTGGCGACCAGCACTACGAGCTACAGACAAAATCACTAGCGCCTCCCAAGCATGTGAAGCCATATCAAGAAGTGACCGATTCCCATGCATACCTCGCTTCGCCCTCAATTGCTTCTGCTATGTTGGTTATGGTGGGCCATATGACGAACCATCACACTGTCAGACCCAATAAAGATATACAAGACGATGCTCTTGAGAAATTGCAGAAAAATTTGGCTGCCGCGACTCGAGGTGGTAGAAAGGAGGATAGGAACGGACCGGAACTCATCTCCAACACAGAAGATCCCGAACTGCAGAAGAAGAAGGCGGAGATTGCCGAGAAGGAACGAATGAGAGCACAGCGTCGTCGCGAGACAGCTGCTGAGAAGGCAAACCATCCCAGAGGCGGCATGGGTACCCGTGGTGGTTTGAATATTGACGATTTGGAAGGTCGTGCTGGACGAAGAGCGCCTGGCGCTGGTCGTAAAGCCCCCAAGCCTCGTCGTAGAAGACCCGACTACGACTCAGACGATGATCTTCCACGTGGTCGCAATAGGGAAGACGAGTATGACAAGGATGATGGTTTCCTCGCTTCTAGCGATGAAGAAATGGAAGAGGGCGAAGACGATGAGGAAGAGGAAGAGATACTTGATGATGAGAGCGACCGCGACGAGCATCGGTCAAAGAAGCAGAAGACATCTAAATCGAAGCCAGAGGAAGTCAGTGATGCGGATGCGGATGCAGAGGCTGATCTTGACGATGATGAAGCACCCGTATCAGCCGCTACAGAACCGGTCAACAGGGGCAGGAAGCGAAACATCATCGAGGATGATGATGATGAGTAGAAGGAGCTGTGTACGGTTCAAGGCACATGGAGACATCATGAGCATTCTAATTCATATAAACAAACCACGCATATCTTGGAGATACATGCCTTTGTGGCTTATGTAGGATTAGATTAGAGATTGGGTGAGGCTATGGCGCATAAAAGTTGCTCAGATGGCATGCAATGCGGAAGCTTGCAAAAAGGCAGCAGTACATCTTTTTGGCCTGGACACTTCAAGAGCCGCACCACGCATACAACAATGTACCTCCAAGTGTAGCAATGATATTCTGTGGCCTGTCGATTATTAAGTTTTAGCCCTTGCTTCGATTGCCACCATCAAAATTACTCGAGCCATGGACTGCAATCTCTCAACACTCTTGAACATTCCTCCCGACCTTGATGAAAATGCCACTAAACGTACTGATGAGTCTAGCCAATCCGGCCCCAAGGGAATTCCACAGAATACTCTATTTAACGCTGTGCATAAGTGCAACTGCAGCGAAATCTGGGGGAGCTAGGCATGGATCATCCTTGGCTCCTTCACATGTCAAGTGTCGTCAGAGCTTGCCAGAGCTCAACACCAACATTCGCCCATTCCTCTCGTAGCTTGCCACAACAACGAGTGCAACAAATCCTCGCTCCGTCCAACATGCAATTCCGATGGAAGACCATTTGTACCCACTAATTCCCTGCTGATTTCTTCACGTTCTACATGCTAGTAGCAGGCTTTCGATATGGCAGGCGTTTTTAAGTCATTCTGGAATCTGCTCGTTGATGTCTTGCTGTTCTGGCAGATTGTGAGCTCCTGCGCTGAAGAGATGCTTTGATCTGCGAGCTGACTGCAAATGTAGCGATTCTTCAGATGGCTGACACGAAGGAAGCCGGTAGAGGTGTGGTTTGATATACTTCGCGGTGCAAAAGTATACGAGGAATGGGAGGAGGCCGCATACCAGCTAGATGTGCTCCTGGGGAATGATCTTTGGTATGAAGAGCCCACTTCACTGTCCCGAAGTAATCGGAGGATATGTTCTTATGTCAACTAGGCGTCAGAACCCCACTTCCAAGTACTACGATTACCGCCTCATCCATGAACGCCTCCAATCAATCATTGTTGCCCGCGAGGAAGGCGACATTCTCCAATTGGTGAACCTTTTGAGATCAGGACTCGTTCGCAATCTGGGCAACATCTCGACCCCCCGACTCTTCAATCGTGCATTTGCAGGTACAAAGTTGTTAATAGAGGACTACATAACACAGGTCGCGCAAGCCATTGCGGACGTTACGAAACTGCCAACTTCTCCCGGAGCTGATGGAAGTGGTGTGATACCTGGCTTCAGCAGCCAAGCCAAATTGGATCTTCTACATGACACGAGACAAGCCTTTGGTAGGAGCACCCTGGTTCTCCAGGGGGGTGCAATCTTCGGACTATGCCATCTAGGAGTTGTAAAGGCCCTCTTTGCTCGAGGTTTGTTACCAAGAATCATTACCGGAACTGCAACTGGGGCTCTTATTGCAGCATTGGTTGGTGTACACACAGAGGATGAGCTGCCTAGATTTCTCAATGGGGACAGTATTGATCTTTCCGCTTTTGCTGGAAAGGGCTCTACTGGCAAAGGCGGATACGATGATGGTTCCTTGGACGGCTGGTGGAGCACACTTGCCCGAAGAATCCGAAGATTCCTCCGTGAGGGCTACTTCTTGGATGTCACTATCTTAGAGCAATGTGTACGAGCAAATGTCGGGGACCTAACATTTGAAGAAGCTTACAATCGAACAAAGCGTGTATTGAATATCACAGTTGCTACAACTGGAAGAGGAGGAGTGCCAAATCTTCTCAACTACTTAACAGCTCCTAACGTTGTTCGTATACCTCCTTCTGATACCGCTCCCCCTCTACATGACTAAATATTCTTTACAGTTGATCTGGTCAGCAGCAATTGCGTCAAATGCGTCATCTCCGTCGCTGTATGGTCGTTCTATCACCCTGAAATGCAAAGATGCATCCGGAGCGATCATCCCTTGGTCTGCCGCTTCGGACACAACATTCAGACCCTGGACACATGCGTCTTACACGGACCGAGATTCTCCCCTATCACGGGTTGCGGAGCTTTTCAATGTCAACCATTTCATTGTTAGCCAGGCTAGGCCGTATCTTGTGCCATTCCTCCAAAGTGACATGCATGGACCATCACCACTCCATACACGTGGTGGACGAACATCGTTGACAGGAGCACTTCTTCGACTGATCACCATGGAGACTCGTCACCGACTGCAACAACTTGATAGCCTTGGACTCCTTCCCCTGTCGATTCGGCGTTTCCTGGTGGATGAACATATACCTGCAGCTTCGGTAACCCTTGTCCCTGAATTGTCAGCGTCTGACTTCATCCGCTTGCTCGAAACGCCTACTCAAGCCAGTCTTGACTACTGGATCCGCCGAGGCGAGAGGTCTGTCTGGCCTGCAGTCGGGGCCCTCAAGGTCAGGTGCGCAATCGAAACGGAACTTGATAGGGGTTACCAGGTGGTCCGCCGCAAGAAGGCGGGCGGGTTGCGGAGACGAGGAAGCGCAGTCGATAATGCTAACGAGAAAGAGAAAGCACGGGAGAGAGAACGTGCCAACAGCTTTGGAGCAAAGTGGTAGACAACAGCTCCTCAAAACCAATTTGCAATTGGTTTCGCATAATCTCGGCGTCAAAGTGCATTCGTGGCGTAGGTATACCAATGCGGGGTAGACGGCACAGAACAGTCTCCTGCAAATTTCAACATTCGATTTGATCGGACTTAAATGTCTCGGCCATACATCATGCGGCTAAGAGAGGACCAGTCAACGTTTATGCAGTTGCAGTCCCATGGTCCAAAAACCAGGAATCTTCTTCTGCAAACACTAGAAAGAATCGCGGCCGAGAGAAGGCTTGCCAAGATTTCCAACGGTTCACTCTGACGCATAGAAGCACGCTAGAATGATCCTGCCTTGTTCTTTGCACATGCAAATCGATTTCTATGAAGTGGAGATCGGGCTGCATTCTCCATTCATAGTCTTGATGACGAGGTGGTAGCTTGTACCTTTTGCGAGACCGGCACACAAGGCTGAAACGACAGCACTTGATGGGCGGGTGTCGGCGCCAACCGATTGATTTGGAGTGGTTCTGAGTGGTTTCTCTTGTCTTAATAACTCATCTCTCGCTTGGGGAAGTCGACAAACAATTCCAGGATATCCATCAGGTCTTGGTGGAGGTATTATTGACGATGGACGGAGAGCTCAGCCCTCAGCCTCACGGCCCGAGACCGTATCACCATCACTAGCCGGTTGTAGCCAGCCAGACTACCGAGACCTACTCGGTGAAGCTCGACTGCCCGAGAGGAAACTCAATGTCGATTACCAAACCGAGCCTAATCATCGGTGGCTCTTGATAGTCGAACTTAACTGGAGACATGATCAGAATGAGTTGTCATTTCGCATCTTGCTAGCCCCTGGAACATGCGTGCCGAAGGTTGATTTCTCACGTCGTACTGCAGTAAATGGATAGCCGACGTCAGCCGCATAGTCCAATATCACATATACAATAGCTTTCATTTACCAGTCCGGACATTGACTGCAAGTGTAAACTCTGATCGGCCATTAGTTCGACCATAGCAGTTCGACAGCTGTGCTCCAATAATTAATAGACTTCAGCAAAAATGAGGCTGCCGAGGCGCAATGCTGCATCAGAAGCTCACGTCGAGCGACATGGATTCAAGGTGTTCACAGCTCACCTCAAGGGCAGCTTCCTATTCGTCAAATGATCAAGCTCTTGGGCTCCGATATCGTAGGGCAGATTTGGAACCCTCCTGTTGCTTGGATTCCCGCTCGCAAGAGAAGCTCCATGCTGGTCGCCTCGCTGCACCTTGTCCGCTTGGCACCATCCCCCCGGGCGTAAACATGTCATCATGAAGATCAGGAAGGAATCCGACTTTCGAAGCCACCGGTCTTGCAGCTGTAGTGTTTCAGGTGACCAAACCTCATCACTGGAAGCGTCACGAGCCGTCTTCGGCCTAATTCCGCTCAGTATCAAACGTGTAGCCGACAATCAATATGGGAGTCACAACAAAATCCAATATATAACATCTTGCCGACACCCTTTTCCTCTTGTTTAGATCAGTAACCTTTCTTAATAATAAACTTATCATCATTTTACATAACGTATAATAGCAACGAATCGTCTACCATTCTCCTTCTAGATCTGTATTCTATCTACTACCACCGCAGTCTTCCCTCAGAATCGTGTATGCGCTTTTGGTCACTTTCCAGCCTCTTGGACCAAGTACAGCCGCCAACCTGTCTTCCCTGTTGATAAGCCTCGTTCTCCTTCCTTATATCCCACCTTAGTAAGCGCAAGCGATCTATTCTTGGCCAGCCTTCTCTGACAATCGCAGTAAGCGGTGGCCTTTTCGAGCATTAAATATGGCCTTCCCAGACCACAACGAGGCCGAGGGCCATGCCCAATATGAGCACTTCAATGATTGGGCATGTCACAGATGCTTCAAGAAGATCTCGGCTAGTCGTCCTCCGGTCTTCAACGCAGACAATTGCAGCTGTGACGAAGTGGCACTTTTCCATGCTGGCAGCGCCGGTTACTATTCTGAGCCAGTGACCTACGAATACCCATCATACAATGTTGAAACCACAACCCCTTATCACAACCAAGCCCAATCCGTGGCTTCTTCCTCAGACTCAGTCCCGTGCCCAGAAGGCCCAGAGCGCGAGAATCCCGACCTGAAAGTCGGAAACGCCTACCTGCCCTTGTTGGAAGCCCAATCAGGATTGAACGAGAGACAACACCAACGCACGGCATCCTTTCACTCTGACCTCTCCTACCCACTCCAGCGGTTCCTCGGAGAAATGAAGACCTACTCACCAGCCACCTACGATACCGAGCATCTCGACCGCAAGTCCAACTCCAACTTTCTTTCCCAGGAGATCCACCTCCAATCTTCCAAGAAAGCAAAGAAGGGGAGCCCACACAGCAAGCTGAGTTGGATGAGTGAAAGCTCCGGAAGTAATGACGCCAGCGTCTCAAGCTGGGGTATGGATGCACTTACTGGAGCAGGGATGTGGGATGATCGAAGTGGGTATGGGAAAACGGAAAATGGAGGGTATGGGTACGCGATGCATTTGAGTGGTATGACTGAGAGCGCTGTGTTTGATGATGATGAGAAGATGATTTGATGATGTGAATATACGATTATACTGGGATAAGAGGTTTTTATGGTTGGAGTTTTAGGTCTTCTCTTCATTTGTTGCTTTGTCCTCTGTGATTTTGGGACTCTGGCTCGAGTTTGGTTGTATAAGATACCCGTCGTTACTCTAGACGATTGTTGTTATTTCTGTTGGGTAGTTGTCCATGCTTGGCTCTCTTTCTTTGGCTGCTCTTCTTTCTATGTATCATATCTGTTTTGAAACTTTGCTTGGGAGGCTTCTTCTTGGGGCGGCTTGTTCTTGGGTGGCTTTCTCGGTTGCTGTTTTGGGTTTCTTATGGCCATCAGGCTTGTACTCGTATGTGCGATTATCCTGTACGAGTTTAGGAACGCTTCATGTCAGATTTATGAAAACTTTTCGAATGATCATATGTCTCCTACAGTGTGACCAGTGACAGATCATCAATTAAGTCGCAACTATACTCTTGTCCTCTAATGAACAAAGGGAGCGGAGAGAAGTAAATGTATAGACACCTCCCACAACTCCATTCCATACCCAACACCATCGCCAAGAGAGAAGAGATCCAACCCAAGGCCGCTAGCAAGTCATTAATATTTTACATCCGCCAAACTCCATCGCTTCGTACATTATACACTGATTTCCAATCCATCTTTCTCCCCATTTACTTTTACAATCGCCGTATCACCCATCTTCAACTCACCCCTAATGATCTTATCTGCCATCCTATTCCCAATCTCCTTACTAATCAATCTATTTAGCGGTCTCGCACCGAATCTGGGATCGTAGCCGCGCTCTGCAAGCCAGTCCCGTACTGTGTCATCGACGGAAAGGTTTATGCGGCGATCGTCGAGGCGGACTTGTAGTTCTTTGAGGCGGATATCAACGATATCGCGGAGAGCAGTGGTGGAGAGCCGCTTGAAAATGATGAACTCATCAATGCGGTTGAGAAATTCTGGAGCGTCTGTTGTGTTCGTCAGTTTTCTGAAATATGTCATATTCAAAGATGAGGGTCAACTTACAGTTGTTATTAACGACATCCATAACTGCATTGCGGACTTCAGGTGCGATATCTCCGTTCGGCTCCTCGTGGTACGGATGGAGCGCATTATTTCCTACCAATATATCGGCACCAAGATTCGATGTGAAAACTATCAGCGTGTTTCGAAAGTCGATTTTATGGCCTTGGGCATCGGTCAGGAAGCCTTCGTCTAGAACCTGTAATAGCAATGCCGAGATGTCTCGGTGGGCTTTTTCGAATTCGTCGAACAAGAGCACAGCGTAAGGCTTGCGTCGAACGGCTTCAGTGAGCTGTCCAGCATCATCGTAGCCAACGTATCCTGCAGGACTGCCAATGAGCCTGGAAATCGTGTGTTTCTCCTGGAACTCGCTCATATCGAAACGGACCACAGCCGACTCGGTAGAGAACAAAAAGTTGGCTAGCTTCTTGCAAAGTTCTGTCTTCCCCACTCCTGTGGGACCAAGGAAGAAGAACGATGCCAGAGGTCTGTTCTCTCCGTTCAGCCCAGCACGTTGCATGCGTACGGCGTTAGCGACGGCCTTGAGAGCTTCGTCTTGGCCGCGGACGGACTCCCGTAAGGAGTCTTCCATGTGAATGAGCTTTTCCGCATGGCCTGAAGTTAGTTTGGACACTGGTATACCTGTCACTCGAGATACGACTGCCGCAATATCGTCCGCGGTCACTGATTCGTGGATCAGGGTGCCATCGCTGGATTCTGTAGCGGACTCTCCATCCGTGGGAAGCTTGGCTTCGAGTGCTGGGATGACCGAGTATCGAAGTTCTCCAGCACGGCCAAAGTTATTCTCCCGCTGATTGGTGTCAGTGCATTCAAAATTATAAACCATGGAAACAAGGGACTTACTTGAGCTTGATCCAACTCAACGCGAGCCTTTTCTAAGTCTTCCTTGACCTTCTTGACCTGATCAATTTCTGCACGTTCTTTCTCCCATTTTTCTGTAAGCTTTGCTGTCTCTTCCTGGCATTCTTTGAGCGTTGCTTGAAGCTTTTCTCGACGTTCTCGGCTGGCAACGTCTGTTTCTTTCCGGAGACTCTCGAGCTCAATTTGAAGGGTCATAACTCGTTGGTCGAGACGCATTATGTCTTCTGGTTTGCTTTCTTGCTGCAGGCGGAGTGCGCTGGCGGCTTCGTCCATCAGGTCTAGTAGGGGAGTTAGCACAAGGCATGCACTACAGGTATTATGGGGTGAACAAACCAATAGCTTTGTCTGGTAAGAAGCGATCTGTAATGTAGCGATTGCTATAAGTTGCTGCTGCGACAAGTGCCCCATCTGTTATTCTTACACCCTGTTCTGGTCAGCATTCATATTGCAAAAAGACACAACACGACTGCGTTATAGCAACGATTGTTCTGCGACGGAACTTACATGATGAACCTCATATTTTGATTTTATACCTCGCAATATACTGATGGTGTCTTGAATATTTGGCTCGTCGACTTGAATGGGTTGGAAGCGCCTGGCTAAGGCAACATCTACGAGAATGTTAGAGCAATATTCTTAGACTTTCGTGAGAAGGAAATGAGGAATCTGGGAGAGAACTTGGTTCTACATCATTTCACGATGACATTATGACTTAGCTGGAAATTTCCAGCTCGACATGACAGGAAATTGCAATGCGGTTATATATCTTGATGCTACGGACATGCTGGAAGCTTATAAAAAAGAGACCCTGTGGCTTACCCTTTTCTATGCTGCGGTACTCATTTAGAGTAGTTGCACCACAGCATTGAAGCTCTCCTCTTGAAAGAGCAGGTTTCAAGAGGTTGCTAGCATCTATGCTGCCCTCAGACTTTCCAAGCCCGAGAAGAGTATGAAGCTCGTCAACGAACAATATTACTCCGCCATGAGCCTCTTGCACTTCACTCAGTACCTTCTTCAGGCGTTCTTCGAAATCGCCACGAAACTTCGCGCCGGCAATCAGTTGTCCAAGATCCAGCGAGATGACTCTCTTCTCTTTGATGCTCTCTGGCACATCACCTCGAATGATTCGCTGTGCCAAACCTTCAAGTATGGCTGTCTTTCCCGTCCCGGCAGATCCAATGAGAACCGGGTTGTTCTTTGTGCGTCTTGACAGAACTTGAATGGTTCGGTGTATCTCTGAATCCCTTCCAATGACTGGATCGAGCTTCCCAGCCTTCGCCCGGGCCGTCAAATCAACGCCGTATGTTTCCAGCGCGGACTTCTCCTCGCCACCTCCTCCCAAATCCATGCGATGGGTCCCTCCTGGAGGATGTGGTCGGCCATTACCATATGTTCTTAAAACCACTACCGGCGACAAGTTTCGTGCTGGAAGATTGGCACTCCTTCGAAGAGCTGCGGTGTTGAGGGTCGGCCCATAGAGACGAAGTGCTCTGCTGGTTGAAGCTGCATTGGCAATGCGCCGCGCAGGAATCCGGATCTGCGATAAATTCATTTTGTCAATCAATATTTTTCATGTAAAGAGCGAGAATGGAAGAAGAAAAGTCGTGAATTCATTTCATGATTTCTGTTGTGGTGGGCTTTTACTTATGCGTGGCATGAGACGACATGGGAAGTTACTCGCATGTTCTCGAAAACATACCGACTTTCGAGCAAGCTCCACGGCAGAAGTCCGGTAGCGCGAGCACGCTAAGCCTGTTATATGTTAGCCAATCAAAGTGGTCTCAGCCGCCACCTTTCGTTAGCTTGCGGTGGTGGGCACTTTCGCCAGCAACATCAAAAAATTCCCCAACCCCACTACGAACTACAAACATCCTCTTTAATCCTCCTCCACCTTCACCTGTACCTGTACCCAAGTGCATCAAATCGTCACCATGGGTTTCACCGATTTCCTCTCAGATGCTGGTCTCAGCGGTAAGTTCACGTCCTGCGACACGACTGCAATGCGGTCAACTCTGTTGATTGCTCCTTGTGTTTGTTGACGCAGTGCTGATGTGACTCAGTTCTCAACAGCTGGTTGACCACCCGTTCATACATTGTTGGGTATGTATACAGTTCCTTTGCAGTCGATTTTTCCGGTCCTCAAAAGGCGGGGAAGTTGTTTTTGCTTGCGACAGCCAGTCGTTCTTTCCTCGACCACTTATTATGATGAGCAAAATTGGTCCGTGTTACTGAGCGGCCTCAAGAACCGTATTATGGCGAGACACCAAGCATGAAAATGCATCTCTGATTTTATCCGCGCCACACGTTATCTTGTTGGACTGATTTCCTACACAGAATGCTGACAGTATTCCAGATACGCTCCATCCCAAGCCGACGTTGCATCCTTCAAGGCTCTCACAACCGCCCCAGACTCTGCCAAGTACCCACACGCAGCAAGATGGTACAAGCACATCGCTTCATACACAGAGGAATTCGCCACTCTCCCTGGTGACGCTTCCAAGGCATACACAACTTATGGTCCAGATGTCGCAGAGGTCACTCTAAACCCAGCCAAGGCACCAGCCGCCGAGGAGGAGGATGATGAAGTCGACTTGTTTGGCAGTGATGATGAGGAGGAGGATGCTGAGGCTGAGAGGATCAGAAATGAGCGTCTAGCAGAATATCGCAAGAAGAAGGAGGGTAAGACTAAGCCTGCTGCTAAGTCTGTTGTCACTATGGATGTTAAGCCTTGGGGTAAGCCACGAATATCAGCGCTTTCAAAATCATATCTTGCTAACCGTTCTGATAGATGATGAGACCGACATGAAGGAGCTCGAGGCATCCGTTCGTGGCATTGAGAAGGAAGGTCTTGTCTGGGGCGCTTCCAAGCTTGTCGCTGTTGGTTTCGGTATCAAGAAGTTGCAGATTAACTTGGTCATCGAGGATGACAAGATTGGTCTCTCCGAGTTGCAAGAGGAGATTGAGGAGTTCGAGGATTACGTCCAATCGACCGATATCGTAAGTCTCCATCCGGCTAACCGTATTTCATGGATGCTAATGGTGGACAGGTGGCTATGCAAAAGTTGTAGACGGGTTTTCGGACTTTTAGACCATGTTGACCTGCCTAAATTTGGCATTCTCGTTTTGATATCAGGCCGCTGGTTATCATGGTTCTTTGCTTGATGAGAAGATGATTTTGCCTGACGAATGACATAACGATCATTATGGGCAGTAACTTAAATGAAATAAAAGCTTTCTTCTCAACCCTTGCCTGAAGCTGATGAAATAAAAGCTTTCTTCTCATTTCTTGCCTGAAGCCGATTTGTGACATGGAAATATTTGGTGACTTTTGACCTGATTTGTTGCTCTGGCCCAGCCCGCTACGCCGCTTATTTTGCGGCTCCATCAAGCCCACCTCCAAAGCTACCTTAACCTTGACTGCACATGTCCAGCTAACCCCTCTCACCTCCTTTACCGCCCAACCACTGCACACTCTGCCAAAATGACCTGGTTATCGAAATCGATTACTGGCCTGGGCTTGCTGTTTCTGGCTCACGCGTATGTACTTTACCAATATTCAAACCGAAGTCTAGCTAACCAGAACACCACGTAACAGCTGCTACTCTGCTCATGAACATTCAGCTCTGCACTCTGCAAGCACAGCAGCCCTGTCATCCATTTCGGCACATAGTACTGCGTCACTGAACGTATCATCACTACCGATCGACATCTCGATTGAAACGATAGTCGCCATCTTCACGGTCTGCTTAGGTCTTGTACTTGGGACGCCAGAGCTCCGTCCGATACAATGGCGCGTCTGGGCTGGCAAGATTGAGCGCGAGGGAGAGGCAGGATTTGCAAATAACGACGGAGAGGTAGACAAGGACTATGTTGGCAATCCGTTCAGACTTCTGGAGAGTCGGCCAGGATTTGTAGACATTCGAAAGCAGAGGAAGGAATTTGCGGCATGGGTACGGGATGGTGGTGGGAACATTTCCGAGGCGCCCAAAAGCTAGAATAAGGCTCTGGAATACGCTTGGAAGTCGTGTCTGTTCGAAGAATGATGGTATTGATTGCATGGGCAGTCGCCGCTCCTGCCTTGGGCAAGCTGGACAGCGGCTTGTAAGAAATGAGGATCGTATGCACAACCATTAGACAAATGGTGGGGCATCTAATTGTTACCAATTGTCTGTTTTTAACGAGGATAAAGTATGTAATTGCTTTTCTCTTTACTTCTTACTTTATTGATGAAAGTGGTAGCCAGCGGTGGTTGGCACCGGCGACTTCCTTTTCCGTTCACCTCACTTTCAACCCCGTCTTCTACTTCTCTGTACATCTCCATTCCAATCCAGGCCATCCACTCTCAAACAGCCCAGGATGGTATACAAGCGTCGCCGAGTGGGCAGTGGAGCATCTTCTCATTACTCTGCTTCGTCTCGCCCACAGTCACTCTCACGATTGAGCTCTGTTCCAAATAATCTTGCCGCTTCGTCCCCTGCACTTCCATCTCTCCGTCGTCAGAACAGGAATTTCTCGAGAGCTTCTAGTTCGCAACCATTTGTATTCTCCTCCCAGCGCGACCGAGATGTTGTCCGCGCAGAAGTATTCGAAACTGAAGCAGAAATTGAAGCCCGTGAGAACACGGACGCTGTCAACGAGATCATTATGGCGATTGACTTGAAGGATGGGGGCACAATTGGATGCGCATACTACGCTGCCAGAGAAGAGAAGCTCTTTATGGTGGCGGACGTCAAGATGGCAGGTCTCGATATTATCGACACTCTCAAGCTGCATGTGCAGCCAACCGTCGTCCTGATTAGCACTCGGTCAGATGAAAAGCTGGAGAACCACCTTTGCAAGGATGCTCGAGGAATCGATCGACGAGATGAAGCAAGTACGTTGACAATGCTCTGCTATCATTGCTATGACTCACTGTTCCTTCTTCAGATGACATTTTTGGCTCCTATGTGCTTGACGCGCGCCCTGCCTCCGAGTTCTCTTCTTATAAAGCCAAATTAAAACTGCTCAATCTAGACTTCGCTGGTGATGGGCCATCAAATTTCGCCTTTACAACCCCTGGAGACAATATGGGTGGAGATACGCCGAACGACATGGGCAAACTCATGAGGCTTGCAGGCTGGATTGACCTTGATAGTGAGCTCACGGTATGTTGGCACTCAAAGGCATATTTCGGTGGAGGCTAATACAATCTAGCTTGGATGCGCAGGTGCCGTGATGGAATACCTAGGACGACGGAGGAGTGTTGACTACTTACCAAATGACGAAGAAGCTCTGGTAGCCTTTCGAATCCGTGCCGTTGAAACGTTCGCACTCTCGGATTTGATGTACATCAATACCGATACATTAGTATCACTCCAGATTATTCAGTCTGAAAGACATCCGAATTCACACATGCAAGGCCCGAACCAGGCAACCTCGGGAGCGAAGGAAAGCCTTTCTGTTTACGGGCTGTTCTCCAGACTTGCTCATACCCCGCAAGGAAAACAGAAGCTGCGGCAAATATTTCTACGACCTAGTTTGGACTTACGAATCATCAAAGAAAGGCTGAAAACAACAAGCACATTGCTTCAGCCAGAGAATTCGCCTCTTCTGGACCAGATGGTAAGAGGCTTCAAGAGGATCAAAGACGTGCGATCGGTCATGGTGCACCTACATAAAGGCACCAGTGGCAGAGGTATCCGCAACGGTGTGTGGGCGAATCTGCAAAATTTCACTTTTTACTGTTTGCAAGTCCTTGAAGCTGTCAGCGAGTTGAAAGGTAGTCGGGATCTTGTGGTCACTGCCAACATCTTGAACCAGATACAGGGTGCTCATCTCACTGCAATTGGCACCATGATTGAAGAAGTTGTCGATTTTAAACAATCAGTGGAACAGCACCGCACTGTCGTCAAACAAGGGGTTGATGCTGAACTAGACAACATGAAGAGAACCTATGATGGTCTTGACAGTATGCTTACTCAAGTTGCCACCGAGGTCTCACATACCGTGCCAGAATGGGCAGCTCAATACGTATCCAACTGCATTTTCTTTCCGCAACTTGGATTTCTCACGGTTGTCCCCCTCGACCCGGAGACAGGTAAAGGAAAATATGAGGGTGAGGGAGTGGAGAACGATATATGGGAGAGGATGTTTACCAGTAATGACATGGGCTACTATAAAAACAACAGAATGAAAGAACTAGACGCTTTCTTTGGAGATATATTTGGACTCATTTGTGGTAGGTTACAATGTTGTCAAACTTTCATCTCATCTATCTGAAGCTAATACATGTCCAGACAAGGAGATTGAAATCCTGCACAGCCTAGCCATCAGAACCCTAGAGCATGAGCAATTTCTCTTAACTGCGTCAGAACTATGCGGAGAACTTGATAGTCTTGTCGCTTTAGCTTTGGGTGCGCGCAAGTACGGCTACAATCGACCTGAGATGACGGCTAGGAATGTTCTACAAATCAGAGGCGGCCGCCATCCCTTGCAAGAGCTGACCGTTCCAGCGTACATCGCTAATAGCTGCTTCCTTGCTGGAGGTCCTGGAGATGAGGATGACGCTAGCCATTCTGAGGATAATTCAGACATCATGTCAACAGTCAAGGACAGTACAGAAGATCCTAGCATGCTCATTATGACAGGCCCTAATTATTCTGGAAAAAGCGTCTATCTCAAGCAGAACGCCTTGATAGTTTACATGGCTCATATCGGGAGCTACGTTCCTGCAGACACAGCAACAATCGGACTGACTGATAAGATATTGACGAGAATTGCAACCCGAGAAAGTGTATCAAAGAATCAGAGCGCCTTCATGATTGATCTGCAGCAAATTGCTTTGGCCCTGACGCTGGCCACTAATAGGACTCTGCTGGTGGTTGACGAGTTTGGCAAGGGCACAAATTCCTATGACGGTGCTGGTCTATGTTGTGGTGTTCTTGAATATCTTCTCAGTCTTGAGAGACACCAGCCAAAGGTGCTCGCAGCAACCCACTTCCATGAAATATTCGAAAATGGATACTTACTGGAGAAGCCTGAGTTGTCCTTTGGCCACATGGAAGTTCGTGTGGATCATGTCGCTGAAGCCATTGAAGACCAGGTCACGTACCTCTACAATTTCGTGCCGAGCCGAAGCAACTCAAGCTTTGGAACTACTTGTGCCCTGATGAACGGCATAGATCCAGCCATTGTGGACAGAGCTGAAGAATTGATCCTGATGGCAGCTCGAGGCGAGGATCTGGTCCTCGCATGTTCGGCAATGAGTCCAGATGATGCTCAAAATTACGAAGAAGCGGAACAAATCGGCAGAAGATTTATCGAGAAAGAATTGCCACACCCAGAGGACCAGCGTCGAGACGGAATCGCTATCCGAAGTTTTCTAAATGATGTTTTAGCTGTGGATTGAAGATAGTGGGTATAGACTGTTGCGAGGTGAAATTTTGTTCTCATGTCTGCTATTAAATTCCAGTGATACTGCCGTTGATATCTTGCAATATGGAAAGCTAGCTTGTCTCGCTGCAACGAACTCCTCTAAACTGGCTAGTTTACCATATTATTGCTCTGAAAATCTGACAACACCTTCTGACTGTCCGAACAGCTTCAGTTTCGTGATGGGACGATCTTGGTCTTCAAACAGTGGTTTTGGGTTTAAGCGAAAGCCACGAAACAGGGCTTCAATCCGATAATTACACGGCACTTGCCTGCTCACTGATCGCCAAGAAACCCTCCCAGAAAGTTGCATTAATAAGACCAGTTTCACGGGTATCCGTCATGACACATGATTGTCGTTTAGGACAAGGAGCAAACACACCGAGGAAGCGCCTTCGACACGTTGCACATGAGTCGAGGCTGTCGAGTCACCATCACTTCTCGCGACTCTGAAGCTGCTGGGCCAGAGTGATATGAGTAAATCGCTTTCTCCATAATCAATATCCCTCCAAGATTTCACCTGGTCCTTCAGTATCGAAAGCAGACAGGAGAATGTTGCACGTTCCAAATCACGCAGGAAGTTGGCAGGCTTTGAACGCAGCCTTGCGTGATATGTCATGTTGACACACGGCACACCAATTATTCATTGGAGCCGATCGTTGATGCGACTTTGTTTTGACCTGACTCTTCGTCTACTTCTCAGCCTCGCTTAAGCGTGAGCGATATCATCCTGTCACTGATGCATGTATCAGAAACAACTTGCAGGCGAAAACCTGGAAGTGATTATGTCACTCCTCAAATCTCTCCTGCTTCTTGCTGGTAGAAAGGTTTCCCAAAATAGCCGATCTGCACGCTCGACTCGCTCCACTTGCAAGGTTAGTCGTTGTCATGGCATAACAAATCTTTGGTCGATGCTGGCATCTGGCGGTGTTTGTGGCAGATCAGTTACGCGGTCCAATATGATTCTCATGCTCTAAGGATTTGTACCGATCCATCAGTAGAGCTGGACTGTAGGCACACCACATTGTTTGGGATAGTACTACTATATTTCGGATCGGGTAGATTCTGCGTTGGGCAAATGGACCGGAACGTCCAGGATATAAGTATTGCATGGCATCTCATGGATTTTCTTTCTCGCAACTAACATAAAAATTTCCCACGACAGCACTTCATTATCAGAGTCGTTCACTGTTCATCTAACAACAGTCACTTCACAGCAGACACCGTACATGCAATTTTTCAACATGCAATACTCAAGCGTCATCATCACAGTCTTGGCGGCAAGTGTTGTAAATGCTCAGGTTAGCATACACGTTCCAGAATACACAGGAGCAAATGTTAATAAGATGTAGTCTGCCACCCATTCTGCAGAAGACACCAAGGAAACTGGCAAATCAAACTCCACAGCAGGCGGCAAAGCCTCACCGACAGGATCAACTCCCAAAGCAACCGGAACAGCGAGAGGAAACTCCACCAATACAACAACCGGCCCACCAGTGCAAGTGAGTGGCAACAGCGCCGACTCGCTGATGTCGCAAGGTGGAGGTATGGTCACAATTGCAGGACTTGGTGTTGCGTTCGCGTTGTTCATGTAATGAGTTGGATGGTTGGGGCAGCTTGGGTTCAAGGCGTAGGAAAAATTGCAGCTTGGGGGGCACAATTTGCTCTTTCAGGTTGGAGCAGGGCTCTGGGAGTTGGGATATACGAATACTCATTTAAGCAGCATTTATGAGGAGTCTTTCTGGATAATGAAATGAAATTCACGACCACATATGCTCCAGATTCCTCGGGCAGATCCACCTCAAACTCTGCATTCCGCTGACCCACATTTAGCGGCTACCTGCAGTTCCCAAAGCTTGATCCATTGCGGAACGAAAAATTCTGTCATTGAGTGAGCACGCTTGACTCACTTTGTATTGTGTCGTTGAATCTTCGGGAACTATCAGGAAGGCTTTGCAGTGGAGATTCTCAGCGTATATATCTTTCCAATTAATCATTCTGACTACATCAACATGGTCGGCTGGCCCAATGGCAAGGCGCTTGACTACGAAGAATGAAAACATTCTGGCTATCAAGAGATTGCAGGTTCGATCCCTGCGTCGATCAATAGAAACATTTCTTTTTGCTTTTGTTGCCTACACCTTCATCATGTGAAGCTGATCAGACCTTTTTTCCTGGAGCTTAGAATTGCTGATTTTGACTATACTATAGGGCTGGGTATAGGAGAAGTCAAGAGATGAATGGATGATGTTGTATTTGAAGATTTTCTCTGTGTGCCTGACCACCTTTTTGGTCGTCTGCTGTGTGCATTTTTCATGTGGAAGCAAATATCTTCAGGATCACCAAAAAAAAGTTAAGCGAGAAAGCACAGGACAAAGCGATGTCCAGTAACTATCATCATGACATGCTAAGGCGAAGTTCTAGACAGAGCATGATGGCTTCACTCCAAATTCTTAGTACTCATCTTCACTGTTGCAAGCTATTTATTTAGTTTCCCTCTCTGAAATATGCTCGGCGACGAGATCAGAAGTGTTGGGTGGGGCACTTGCAAGTTGACCGACTCGCGTAGCCTTCCCTCCAATCGCTCGCTCTTATCATAAGTCTTAACTTATCACACAGCTTCATATTCCTCAGCAGGGCCTTCAACAATCAGACGATGAGACCCTAGGTAGCTCTGAGCCAGAATCATCAAATATCTGTTTATCCAACTCGTCTATCGAGTCGTGTTTGCTGAGAAATGCCCACGTTGTTGAATCAATTGCCTTACCCGAACCTGCAGCTGGAGAGCTCACTCCATCAGCAGTTTGTCAAATTATCGCACAGAGCCATTTCTCAACTATCCTTGTTGTTATATTTGGTTTGGCGATATTTTTTCTCCCTTGCATCTATTTCAATATTTTCTGGCTTCCGGTATGTGTGAGTGTTGTCCACGAGCTGAACGGTGCATGGTCTCCAGTACACCCGCTTTCGCTTGTCTGTTTACAGCTCCCAGCTCGGGATATACTTATCATCAGCCTCTGTACCATGAGATACTGGTCCCGCCATGGGTGATCATGAGAAGACTTGGTACACGGCTAACTTTGGCAGTTCGATTTTGCATGTCAGATCAGTCATTTGTGAGATTGGTAATCAAATTCTCTTCGCCAAGGAATTGTATCATCGCATATCGTTCCATGGACATTCTTTTAATATGTTGTATATAATCAACATAAGCTCAGCCATGACTTCCGTCTCACGGTCTCAACAAAATTGCAGGACCCCGGGATGGATGCCCAATATGTTGATGTTTCAAGCCTGTCCTGTACTGTGAAGCAAATTGGTGATTGTTAGCTCCGAACTTCCGGTGCTTATCACCGTTCTCCCCCTGGATGATGTTGAGATTAAGCTGCCACCGCTTCGGCTGTGACTCTGATCGGCAGGACTGAGTGCACTACAGTACCGACCTTGGCGCTGACACTATGAGCCACTATGAGCGGCTCTTCGTCATGGACAGCTGGTGCTAATCCGACCACAATTCGGCCGAACAGCGTTTCGTCATATGTGGGTGAGAAATCGAAGTCCCTTGTGTAGCTTGCTAAGCAGAAGTCTGTTATGGTTATCTCCTTCCAGGCTCTCGAGCGCTATCTACCTCTGAAAACAGCGCTCCACTCGGGGACTCTGCGCCGCGGACTTCCGCTCCCGCTCCCTAAGATGCATTCTGCTTACTGTTTGCAAAAGGTGCGAGCTATCAACGTGCTGATTTGTTGGCTGAAAAGCTAGCAACCAATTTACGCGAAAGTGCCGTCACTCGAAGTTTAGTCGCGCTGCATAAGTATATATATCTTTGCCTCCTCGTCACATCCTATGCCATCGGAGGACCTTGTTTTTGTACCACTGCTCGCGGAGCGCTTGTCAACATGTTCAACGTTCATAGTGACCGCATGTACACTGCTCGAGCAGAGGGGTTTCAGGAAATACGAGTCCCTTTGCACAATGTCGAAAATCATGCAGAAGCCCATGGACCAGAGGAAGGGACCCCGGCGTCTTCACAGGTCGAATTGCGAGATGAGGGGACTTGGGGAGAGCGGGATATTGGAGGTCCAGTCAATTTCAGGAACGCAATGTTGGATTACGAGGACATGCGTCGCGAGTTGACCAACCTCTCGAAAACCCGTAGCGCAGGCCAAAAAAGCACTAAAAGTACCGGACAACACTCATCTGGATTGAAAAGAGTCACGACAGCTGGGACACGCCGGTCCCAGAAAGTCCGTACAAACGAGCCCGAACCTGACCTGGAAGCTCAGGAGGAAGAAAAGCCGGAGGGAGAAGGTGCTGATATTGCAGAAGACGAAGAGGACTTTGAGCTTGGAGAATTTTTGAAAGATGGACATTTCGAGAAGCGTCAAGAGGGCAGATCAGCAAAAAAGGTTGGAGTGGTTTACAAACATCTCACTGTGCAAGGTTTGGGAGCGACCACAACATTCGTCAAAACACTTCCAAGCGCTGTTGTCGGAGTAAGTCATCTTCTTTTCCCGCTCTTCACATCTGATTATTAAATCATTATAGACATTTGGGCCTGATTTGTATGCCCTTCTATCAAGATTTATATCTTTTCTTCCGCAGCCAGGATCCCATGGAGAGAAACGTAACCTCATTAATGACTTCAATGGCGTGGTGAGGGATGGTGAGATGCTGCTGGTCCTTGGTAGACCAGGCAGTGGCTGCAGTACGTTTTTGAAGGCAATTTCCAACAAGAGAGCAGGCTTTGCAGGTGTCGAAGGAGAGGTATCCTAGTAAGCTTCCACGATCTTTCCTCTCACTACAGCCACCAAGACTGACTCTAAAAAGTGGAGGAATCCCTGCCAGTGAGCAGATCAGAAATTACAAGGGAGAAGTCAATTACAATGAAGAGGATGACCAACATTTCCCGACGTTGACGGTCGAGCAGACACTGAAATTTTCGCTGCTGAACAAGACGAAAAAACATGAGAAAGGGGATATCCCAGTCATCATTGGCGCTCTATTGAAAATGTTTGGTATCTCACACACAAGGCACACATTGGTTGGAGATGTAAGCTGCCTACCCATGGCAATCATAAGTAAAAGATGCTGCTTCTAACTCAAATTAGGCATATACCAGAGGTGTTTCCGGCGGAGAGCGGAAGCGAGTGTCAATTGCGGAAACGTTAGGATCAAAATCTACAGTTGTTGCATGGGATAATTCGACACGAGGATTAGATGCATCTACTGCTCTCGACTATGCAAACTCGCTTCGCGTCATGACGGATATCAGCAACCGAACGACACTTGTTACACTTTATCAAGCAGGCGAGGGCATTTACGAACTCATGGATAAGGTCTTAGTCATCGACGAGGGCAGAATGGTCTACCAGGGTCCAGCTAAAGCTGCCAAAAAGTACTTTGAGAATCTTGGTTACTTCTGCCCGGAGAGACAAACAACTGCAGACTTTCTCACATCCTGTACGGACTCAACCGAGCGACGGTTTCGAGAGGACTTCGATGGACCGATTCCTAGAGGCCCGATAGAGCTGGAGAGAGCATTTCGCGAAAGTGAGGCTTACAAACATGTGCTCGAAGATGTTGAAGATTACGAAAAGATGCTTCATGAAACCGACTACGCGGATGCCAGGGAGTTCAAACAAACAGTCTCAGAGACAAAATCGAAGCACGTCTCCGACAACTCGAGCTATACAGTATCATTTTTCCGCCAAGTCCTTGCCTGCACGAAGCGAGAGTTCTGGCTTACTTGGGGCGATAAGACGACCTTGCACACCAAGTTTTTTATCATCATTTCTAACGGCCTGATCGTCGGTTCTCTCTTTCACGGCCAGTCCTTAGATACTTCAGGAGCGTTCTCGAGAGGTGGCAGTCTGTTTTTCAGTGTCCTATTTTTAGGATGGCTACAGTTGTCCGAGCTCATGAAAGCTGTGTCTGGAAGAACTATCATTGCAAGACATAATGATTATGCGTTCTATCGACCATCGGCCGTCGTCATTGCAAGGGTAATGCAGGACTTCCCATTGATTCTCGCCCAAGTCATCCCGTTCTCGATTATCATGTACTTCTTGAATGGGCTTGATGTAGACGTGAGCAAATTCTTCATATATTTCCTGTTTATCTACCTCACGACAATCTGTGTTACAGCACTATACCGCATGTTTGCTGCTCTATCTCCAGCAATCGACGATGCAGTTCGATTTTCTGGAATCGCGCTCAATCTTCTGATGTAAGTTTCTCCTCAAGATCTCAATAGCCGCATTCAGTCGCATGGATAAATGGTCTCGAGTCCGAAAGTATGCTAACACATCCAAAGTATCTACACTGGATATGTTATTCCTCGTCCACAACTTCTTTCGAAGTATATTTGGTTCGGGTGGCTGTACTGGGTGAATCCAATTGCATACAGTTTCGAGGCAGTCTCTACGGATGAGTTCTACAACCGAGTTCTCAAATGTTCACCAGATACGATCATTCCAAGGGGACCAGGCTTCGACAATCCTGCTTATCAAGGTTGTGCCTTTACAGGTGCCCAGGTAGGGTCTCTCAGTGTGCCTGGAACAGACTATCTCAGCACCTCCTTCGACTATTCTCGAGGCAACTTGTGGAGAAATTTTGGTGTCGGTTAGTCAAGTCCTCATTTCTGGCAGTATATCTTAATGCGACAAAAGACTGACAAGAATGTTTTAGTCATTGCATTTACTGTTCTCTACATCTTAGTCACCATGGTTGCTTCAGAGCTCTTCAACTTCTCGAAGAGTGGAGGTGGTGCACTCGAGTTCAAGAGGTCTAAAGCCACGAAGCAAAAAATCAAAGCAGCTTCCGCACCTTCTGATGTCGAGCAAGTAGCTAAGGATCGGTCAACGAGTGTACCAGGTTCATCCAGTGAGACCTTGAATGGCGGTCGACAAGAAGACGAGGCCTTGCAAGAAATTTCAGGCTCTGACAGCATATTTACATGGGAAAATGTTGAATACACTGTTCCGTACATGGGCGGCCAGCGAAAACTCTTGAACAACGTCAATGGATATGCCAAACCTGGTGTGATGGTAGCGCTTATGGGTGCTTCAGGAGCTGGCAAGACAACTCTTTTAAACGCATTATCACAGCGACAGAAAATGGGTATCGTTGGGGGTGACATGCTTGTTGATGGAAGACCTCTTGGCACAGAGTTCCAGCGCGGGACGGGATTCTGCGAACAGATGGATCTTCACGATGGTACGGCAACCATCCGAGAAGCCCTTGAATTCTCCGCAATTCTTAGACAAGACCGCAGTGTCCCCCGAGCCGAGAAAATTGCCTACGTGGACAAGATTATTGATCTTTTGGAACTCGGAGATGTTCAGGATGCACTAGTCCGATGTTTAGGAGTCGAACAACGCAAGCGAGTCACAATCGGAGTAGAATTGGCAGCTAAGCCCAACCTGTTGCTCTTCCTGGACGAGCCCACCTCTGGGCTTGATTCTCAATCGGCTTACAGTATTGTTCGATTCTTGAAGAAGCTCTCGAATGCTGGCCAAGCTATTATCTGCACCATCCACCAGCCATCCTCTGTCCTCATCCAACAATTCGATATGATACTCGCGTTGAATCCCGGTGGAAACACTTTCTACTTCGGACCTGTAGGTGATGAGGGCAAGGACGTCATCAAATACTTCGCTGATCGAGGTGTCCATTGCCCGCCACACAAGAACGTTGCAGAATTTATTTTGGAAACTGCAGCCAAGGGTGGTAAGCGGGAAGACGGCAAGAAACTGGACTGGAACAAGGAATGGGCGAACTCGGCAGAAGCAAAAAATGTCCTGAACGAAATCCAGAAGATAAAAGCAGAGCGTAGCAAAGTCGAGCCCAGAGCACAAACCGAACAGCATGAATTCGCATCTCCCGTTGCCTCGCAGACCATTGAGCTGACGAAGCGTCTCTTCATTCAATACTGGAGAGATCCATCGTACCTATACGGAAAGCTGTTTACCTCTGTCATCATAGGAATATTCAACGGCTTTACATTCTTTAAGCTTGGAAACAGTATTGTGGATATGCAGAATCGCATGTTCACGAGCTTCTTGATCCTGCTGATTCCGCCAACTATCGTCAACGCCGTCGTGCCAAAATTCTACCAGAACATGGGCTTATGGCAGGCAAGAGAGTACCCATCTAGAATCTACGGATGGGTCGCTTTCTGTACTGCCAATGTTGTCGCACAGATACCCATCGCGATTGTCGGTGCTACAATTTACTGGCTTTTGTGGTACTGGCCGACCGGGTTACCTACCGATTCTTCAACCGCGGGCTACGTCTTCTTGATGACCGTGCTCTTTTTCCTGTTTCAAGCGTCATGGGGTCAATGGTCAGTACTGTCTTCCATCTTGATTCCTGAAGCGTGGCGACAGCATAATTAACATAATGTGCAGGATCTGTGCCTTCGCACCCTCTTTTACCGTCATCGCGAATGTGCTTCCCTTCTTTTTTGTCATGTTTTCCCTCTTCAATGGTGTCGTCCGACCATACAGTCAACTTAGCGTCTTCTGGAGATACTGGATGTATTGGCTTAACCCTTCAACGTACTGGATTGGAGGCGTCCTAGCCGCTACCCTCAGCGACACAGAGGTACAATGTATGCCTCAAGAAGCAGCTTATTTCAACCCACCGCCTGACCAGACCTGTTCCGAATATGCCTCGTCTTTCGTCAACGCGGCTACAGGATATCTCATGAACCCCAATGATACGACCAACTGCGGGTACTGCCAGTTCAGCTCTGGCGCAGAGTACATGCAGACTCTGAATATCGAACCCAAGGACAAGTGGAGATATTTCGGCATCTTCCTGGCATTCTGTATTTCCAACTGGGCACTAGTTTATTTCTTTATTTATACTGTTCGTATCAAGGGCTGGAGCTTTGGGCTTGGCCGTTTGTTTGGACATGGTGGGAAGTTGGTAGAGGCTGCCAAGAAGCCCTTCAAGAGCGGAGGTAAGACGGGGAAGAAAAGCTCAGCTTAGTCTGTGTTTGAATGTTGATAGACGTGTATAGACATTGTCGTTTAGCGGTCACAGCAAATGTACGGACACAAATTGAATTTTCTCGATATTTATTGTTATTCAGTCGAAGTGTGCTTCTGTGAATACTAGCGTTGTCCAGTACCTCCACTTGTACGACTTTGTGAACTCACAGCTTTCACAGCACGCCCACCAAAGACTATAATTCGTAGCAATGATTGTCAACTAGATACTTCTCGTGTAAGTATCTCGTGCACTTGTACCTTTGGCTCTGGCCAGCAGACCCAGACGCACTACTTACAAATCCGGCCTGCGCAAGTACAATTGGCATAGCAAGGCATTCCTGTTGATGAACGTATAAAATACGATCCTGCCAGTTTCCGCTACCGAGTGTCCCCTACAATATATTACCCATTATCAAATGGAGTTGTATCCAGCAGTCTTTCAGCCACAGCAAATACCCTTAGCATATATACGGTGAGCCTCAAGCAAGAACTGTCCACATAAAACCTGCAGATACCTTGCGCTTCTATAGGGTAGCCTGGCCAAGTACTGGCACTTCAGCCATGTATCATTGGCCGAGTTCAAGTTTTGCATATCCATGACAGAGCTCTGGGAACTCGATCAATTCGGGCAACAATGAGAAGCTTGGAACCACACAGCCGCCTGACTCGTTACATGATACAGCAATCAGCGAAATGAAGTTGAAGGATAAAGAGATTGGACTTATTACGATACACATCAGTTTGAGAGAAGTCTACGGTACGGGAAGCCAAATGAATGGGAAGCCAGATGAATCACTTGTGCGGAACGTCCAATTTCATACTTGCAAGCACTGGATAATTAATTCTGCCTTAACCTCTGATTTTTCACTACGTAGAAAGAAAACGTACTGACTATTTAATAGATTTTCTAAATTAATATTATAGCTAACTAGGTAAAAACAAGAAAGATAGACAGGGTACCTAGGTAGGGTAACAGTAACAGGCAGCTTGACTCGGCTATTTTTAGTGATCTTGCCTTGCCTACAAAAGTCGTATTTTTGACCCCTTTATATTACAACGAAACCATCTTTAATATTACACTTTGAATACATTCAAGAATCAATTACAATTTAAATATCATGTCTACTATCCGAGAGCATTATTATGCCCCTAGAAAGCGGTGAAATAATAAGGTCAGAATCGAGGTTTGGACGTTCCGCACATGTGATTCATTTGGCTTCCCGTATACAGCCCGAAGCCGCGCCAAGACCCATCGTATTTTTATCAGGCCGGCACGCACTAGTGGAATATCCATGTTCTGCCCCGACTCGCATCCCTCAGCAAAACGTCGATTCTTCAAGTCACCTGAGATCGTTGGTGTTCCATGAATATACCTTGGCCGTGAACTATGATTCGTAAGCCATGACCAAGAATATCTATACGGACAGACTTCGGAAGCCGGGCTTTAGTTGCCCCTACGCGCCAGTTCCCGCTTTCACTATTTTCTCACAATGTTGTATTGACGCGCGGTAACTCAACGAGAAACCCCGGCGGCCACATCAACGTAATTTGGATGCAGCTTCTAGGCAAGATTGCTGGGATAAATTTGGAGGCGACTGTTGGAACCCATACAAGGGAAATGCCCGTCAATCAACCCTGTAAACATATCCATACCTCAGCAGGACGAATGGACTGATCACATCAAGCGCGGACCCACGGCAGCGTCTCGCTGGAAATGCTGCTTTGCAGTGAGGACCGCCTGTTGTCAAGTCGTTGTCATGGTCCGAGATGCTGGTCAAAGAAATGTGGTTGTGTTTCAAGTAGTCCTCTTACGCCGAAAGGATTGGTATCTATCGAAGACTTTGCATACGGTATCGCCATGATGCAAGTCAAAGTCTGAGGCCCTCATCCCCAGGATATCTGATGCAGCGACTGATGCACGGCTTTGTATATTAGATGATGTAATCCCCAGCCGTGGGATGCTACTTCTCTAATATCTCATCTCATCATATCCACTCACAAACATCCACGGTATCACTCGAGCTCACATTTTACCATTTACTATCACGCTGCCTCTCCATCTCTTCTCGATTCCTCCACAACTCACCACCATGGACGGCCGTCGCTCCAACCGTGCCAACAGAGAGACAACAACGCAGCACACTGAAACAGAAACCGAAGGTGAACCGGCAGTAGTCTGGCATCCCGTCTGGGTTGCAATATATGTCGGGGGTGGAGCGTTCAAACATTGGTCACTTTTTGTTGAAGACGAGGAGGATCAGGACGAAAGCTTCATTGTTCATGTTCAGGGTGAACCCGGCACGTTTCGTTACCAGCAAATCAAGAAGAATGCGCGCGAGTCCAGATCTTTGATCGAAATGATCCAAGTCGGCCATGTGAAGAAGAACGAACTCCGAGATTTCAGAAGAGTCTGCCGCGACGTAATCGTCAGCTGACCAGCCGGTGGGCTTCCTAAAATCGCTCTCGCTCTTAGTTAGAATAAGCGAATACGGATCGGAAGTGAATACAGATTTTCGATTATTATTACCTTTAATAATAAAAACAGTGTGAATTACTACTAGAATTATATATAAACTAGTGTAAATCGCTAACTCCTAATAAGATCCCTATCGCTATCGGAATTATCTAAAGAGATACTACCCTAGTAGCTTAAATCCGACTCTCTAGAATTAGAATTATTACTAACTCTATATAATGAATTATCTGAATCTCTACTACTATCTAAATTAAAGCTATCGCTATTAATTCTAAAGTCTCTAGTACCTTTTAGAAGAGGTAAATAGTCACGTTAAAGCTCTATATTACCTATTATATTAATAGTTATTTATAAGTCGTTCCCTCTAAGAACTAGCTTAAGAGAAGGTAATTTAAGCTTTAGAACGCCTCTCTTTTTAGGATAAGTAGCCCGCTATTCTAAAGGCTATTAAGACTACTAAATTTCCTCTGTATTAAGGATAGGAACTAATAAAGGATTATTATCTTTAATAATCTGACTATTACTTAAACGTTCCCGAAGTATTCTCTTATAAAGTTATTTAGTAGCACATGAATTAACTCCTTTCTAATACTTAAGGTCTTATTCCTTCCTCTATAACTTATTAATATAGCGCTAAGCTCTAGAGGCGTTATATTACGTTTCCTTAGCCTCTTTTTCTATAATAAGTCGATTAGTAACCTCTTTAGTAAGACTATCTTTAAAATAGAACTATTTCCTACTCTTTATAACGGTCTGGTATTTACTCGCTATAAATACAGAAGGCTACAGTTAATCTCTAATAATTGAGAGGTAAGTGTATCACGTAGATAGGAAGATAGTTACTAAGTATTAAAATACTATTTAAAGTTAAGTATAAAGCTCTTATCTAATAGCAGACGTGCTAGTCTTATATAGAACCTTTGTTCGCCTTAGATCCTTATAAGTCCTATGATCCTAAGCTCTAAGAACCTTAGATCTTATAGTTCTAAAAGCTCTATACTATCACGTAATATATAATCCTGTGATTTCGTTCTTAGTTCTTAGCTTCTCTATATAGTAATACTACTAAGCCTTAGGGCTAAGATATATATAATACTCTTTCTAAGTGTATTTATAATACTATCTCCTTTCTTACTTAGCGTAATCCCTATACTTAAGTATACTAAAAGAAATACTAACAATAACCTATAGCTATCTTCTTCTTTTATTATATCCTCTAAAATTACTAAATATAAATAAAGAATAGCACTTACTGAAATAATTAACTCTTATAGCTCGCTTAGTATACTATATTCTAATTATATTTATTACTATCGTAATTACGTAGTCCTAAATAAGAAGTCCTAGAGGTATAGGGAGTATATTTATTACGGTGTGAAATACGATACTCTTTAGGTTTCTATTAATAACCTCTAAAGTCTTCGTATAGAGGAAGATCGCCTGAAGTTTAAAAGAGATATAGCCTTCGAGGCGGCTATAGTTAGCCTAGCTCGTATCCGTGAGCTCGAGTAGTGCTAAGCCGAGCTTCGTAAGTAAGGGAGGGAAATACTTTGTTATAGTCTAAGAACTCTAGATAAGTTAGATAAGGCTAAGGTAAAAGAAAGAGTAGAAAAAGTAAAAGCGCAGGAAGTAGTAGAGAGGGAGAAGTAAGCTTCTACTACTTAGCTACTTATACTACTACTCGCCGGCGACTCCTCTGAGTTCTACCTAGTTAATAAACTGCTACTTAACTTTAGGAACTCTTTCTAGGAAGACTTAGGTTTCGTTAATAGAAACTTTGTAATAACCCAGGGTAATAGAGGTTAGACTTAGGTTCCTAGGTATTTTCTAACTATAGGTACCTTTTCTACTTAATTAAATATCATGTTTTACTATAGTAGTTCTAATAGTTAAGGATAGCCTCTACTTTATATTTAGTATTTAGATTAACCGGTTATATTTTAGTAATAGGAGCAGGTGGTGCTTCTAGCGGTACTAGTTTAAGAAGAGATATATGGAATACTGGGTAGATATTTATTATCTTTAGTAGAGCTAGTTAATAATTAACTAGTCCTTTAACTTTAGTAATCCTGAATAGTCCTAGCTTTTTATAATCTAATTTATAACTTAGTTGTTTAGTTATAATATTCTTTCTAAGTAAGTAGACTTTATTCCCCTCCTTAAGCATTAGTCCTATACTACGTTTTCTATTATAGTAGATCGTAGATCTTTACGCGATAAAGAGAATATTAGCTAATAATTCTTCATAGAGCTATTTAAGCTCACTTACTTATAGTATAGCTTCTTATATAGTACCTTAACTAGCTATTAGTAGGTTATATACTATAGGATTATACCTATAATTCGCGTAGAATAGCGATACTCTAATAGTCTCTTAATCCGCGCTATTATATATAAACTAGGTAAGTGGGAGTAGTTATACCTAGTTATCCTGCTTATAGTTTATATAACACTAAAGATAAGTCTCTATTATCTAGTTGATTCGTTCTATCTATATATTAGTTTAAGGATAGAATATAGTTAATATTTTCTACTTTATTCCTAAGAGTATAATAAGAGTTTTCTAGAACTTTAAAGTAAAGAGCTTATCTTTATCTAAGATAATCTTATCTAGTATTCTATAGCTTATAAAGATTATTCTAAGGAATACCTACGCTATTATAAGCGCGTCTTATATTCTAAGTACTAATACTATATACACGTACTTTATAAACCTATCTGTTATTATATAGATTAAGTTATATATAATTCCTATAACTAAGTCTTTCGAGAGTAGTAGCTTAACTACGAAATCTAAAGCGATTAATTTCTATAGGCGAGGTAGTATTATTAGTGACTTTATAAGCCTATATAGAGTATAGTATAATACCTTGTTCCGGATATATATGTCGTATAACGCTACTACGTCTTTAACTACCTTCCTTATACCTAGGAAGTAGTATTCCCTAGATAGCCTAGATAGTGTCTTAGCTACCCCCTAGTATCTATAAGTAGGTAGCCTATACTAGTACGTGATAAATTTAATCCTATCTCTAGTAGGTATATAGATTTATCCTTAGTACAGAAGTATGCTATCTAAGGTGAAGGAGAATCTTTCGCTTAGCTACTTCTTCTATTCAGCTATAACCGGGTCGTTAGTATAGCCCCTCTAGATTTTCTTAGTAACTTAGCTTATTAAGGCTAGCTATTAGTAATTAACTATTAGCGAATTATTATCCTTCTGTAGTATAGTATAAGATTTATAAGTTTTATTTATAAGATATTCTAGTTTCCTACTTAAAGCGTTAGCTCTAGCGTTTTCTATTCCCTTAATATAAGAAATTCGAAGTTTAACAGTAGAAAGTGTTTTATACTATCGAACCTAGTGTCAGTTTAATTCTTTAGTAGTTATAAAGTAAATAAGATTCTTGTAGTCTATTAGGATCTATATTTCGTAGGCAGCGCCCTTGAAGTAGACTTTCTATTCGCGTACTACGTCTATAATTACTAGTAACTCTTTATTATATATATTATAATTAAGTTCTACTAGTAATAGTTTCCGCGAATAGTAAGCGACTAGTTACTATTTTCCGTCCTTACCCGGCTAGCTAAGCACGGCTCTAATAGTGTAATCTAAAGAATCTATCTCTATACGTATTTCTTTATTAAAGGTAAAGGAAGTAAGTACTAGTTCCGCGATAAAAGCCGCTTTAAGTGCCTTAAACACTTTTTATACGCTATTAGACTAGTAGAATTCTTTATCCTTATAAGTTAACTCTGTGAGTAGCTTAGCGATTTTCAAGTAGTCCTTAATAAATCGCCTATAGAAGTTAGTAAACCTGAGGAATAATTATACTTCCTTAATATTCATAGGCCCTATCTACTTAATAATTACTTTAATCTTTTTAGGATCTATAGCTAATCCTATAGTAGTAACTATATAGCTTAGAAAGATAACCTCGTTTATATAGAAGTTATACTTCTTTAGTTTAAGTAATAGGCAGGTGTCCTCTAGCCTCTAGAGAATAGCTATGATATCTTTTATATATTACTTCTCTGATTTAGAGTAGACTAGTATATTATCTAAATAGTATATATATATTACGTCTAAGTAAGGCTATAAAATATTATTAATTAGACGCTGAAATATAGCTAGTATATTAGTTAAGCTAAAGGGCATAACTGTATACTTATAGTAACTAAAATAAGTGCGAAATACTATTTTCTCTTCTTTACTTTTAGCTATCTTAATAAGGTTATATACTCCTCTTAGGTTAAGCTAAGTGAAAATCTTAGCTCTAATAAGTCTATCCTATAGCTCCTTAGCTAATAGTAGTATATAACGATCCTTCTTTATAGTATCGTTTAATTAATAGTAGTTAATATATATTTGTTATCTACTATCTTTCTTTTCTATAAATAAGATATTACTCCCCTATAGAGATTTAGACTCTCGGATAAATCCTTTCGCTAGGTTTTTATTAATATATTACTTGATTATTATTAAGTCTATCGCTAAGTATTCCTTAAGTAGTTAGAATATCAGCTTAGTACTTAGTTCTAACTCGATCTAATAATCGTAGTCCTAGTGTTTTAGTAAAGCCTTAATACCTTATTCCTCCTTAAATAGTGCTATAAACTTCTTATATACTAATAGTATATTCTTTATTAGTAGACTCTTATCTTAGTATTCGAGCTCTTCCTTAGAGGTAGCGCTAACTTCTCGAATACTTACTACTTCTATTCTTAGTAGATAATAGTAGTCTTAATAACAACTAAACTTAAGCTTTCCTATCTACTAATTAATAATAGGGTTATACTTTTCTATCTATAGTAATCCTAAGATAATATTATACCTTCTAATCCTAATAATATCGAATTAGATTATTTCAGAGTATCTAGTAATACCTATATAAACTGGAGTAGTCTGGACCTTAATTAGTCTATCAGAGGTAACCTTACTATCCGCTAGTACTAGAT